CTTACTTAGAAATCTTGCCGTCTGGAAAGAAATCGAATCCGCTTACAGTAAAGAATGTAGAGAAAAACATTAGGGAAAGAAGTCACTCTCGTGTCTGCAGTTGGACAGTTGGGTATTTCGTGAACTGCTCAAAATGTCTACGTTTGCAAACCTTTCTCCCATACTTGTGTAGTCAATAAAAAATTTCTTTTTCGACAAGATAGATGTTCAGAATCCTTTTGCTTTTTGCCATAGAAGGGCTTGTTTATATGTTAATTCTGCACGTCCAACAATAATTGGATATTTACTACTTCTTTTCCCTTCATTGTCAAACGTAATCAGTATATTTATCACTTCGTTGGGTTAAAATATATATTTTTTGAATTTTTGAGACTACTTTTTGTCATTTTTTTCATTTCTCGTTTTCTTAATGCTCTCCAGAATGATAATGAATTATAACACAGTTTATGCTCATGGCATGCTACGAAAAATGCTACGAAGTTGTCGAACGTTATTTTCCAATGATTCCATTCCCTGGAGGCCTCGCTTCTATTCGGATCACTTTCAAGGCTCTTAGGACGAAGTACTTTACCCATAGGAACAAGTTATTATGCTTCTTTACACGAAGTATTTTAATCACACGGAGTATTTTACTTACGGTTTACAGCAAGGTATCCTCAGGGCTGAAATAAACAATTGCTACTCAATCATAAGAACAGAGGTCACAGCTTTTGACTAACAAAGACACGACGTCCAATTTTGTAACATTCAATGTTCGTGGACTAACTCATTGTGGGATGTGAAGATGATCAGCGGAGAGAACAAATTGTCAAATAATATACTCTGCAGAAAAAGAAATCCAAAGAAATGGCAGAGACCTAAAAGTTTTATGATTGACACGTGTGTTTGAATATTGAAATCGAGTGAGTTTCTGAGATTAGAAAGACTTGTTAATCATATTTGGAGACATACAGGTCACCTCGTGTTTACGAGGAAACTGTTGAATTTGAGGTAGCATGCACTAGATCAACGTAACTTCTGATCTTTGCACTATCACGCTGAGGTTTTCAATTAAAAATATATATGGTCTTCGATGGCTTGAAATATACTTTCCCCGTAGTTTTCCTTCGTAATTTGTAAACAAGCGAGACATAGCAAAGGCTACATTTCCGGGAATTGCTTTATAAGGTCACTTGCTTGTTAAGAACTACGGTTCCCTAGAGAAATTCTTCAAGCGCACAACGTTGATTTCGCCTTTCTCATAATGATCATCGTACATTTTAGTCGATCACCAAGGGAAAAGCGACGAACCAATAATTTCACATTGAACTACCATTTGTTACTGCTGATATGCGGGTTTCTATACTCGCCCGAAAGTTAAACCAGCTTTGATCATCTACGACAGTTTTCGTTTGACTCCTTTTAAGGCATTTTCCACAAAAGAACTGCATAGCGGATTTTTAAAGATGCAATTTCTCACTAGTAGAAGAAAAGGCGAAAGGTATCAAGAGAAATTGCAATTTTCAGTCGCAAAACTCCCATGTAAAATATTACATAATTGTATGAATATCATGACATTCGTGGATTATCAAACGTGTGCTACTTCTGAGATGAGATTAATTCGTTGTTATTTTTCGTCTGTGTTGTTTTGTATCAAGCTTCAGAGTTGACATATTTCTCCAATTACGAGAAAACAAGTCCCTTTTCTCGTCTGTAACCATTAGGAAAAATTGATGAAAGGCACAGTGGTCTGACTTATACGGCGTGTGTTCAGAGCTTAGTTGTGGACAATCTTTACCATTTACCAAGGGAGACGTTCATTTGTAGATGAAAATTATCCTGCTTTTATTCATTTTGGGTTTATGTTTTTATCTATTTAATGTAATTGGAAAATATTGTAAGTCAGTTACAGTTCTTGACAAACGGAAAATACATTGGAACGTATGTGGACAAATTGGTGCTTAGGATTCGTGGAATCTGTCAACCAAATTTCCCAGAATCAGTGCCCAAGACGGAGTGAAAACTGGCTACAGTTGTCCTTGTTGAAGTCGCTTTTAATCACTTTTTACTTGCGGCTGGTGGCTGCAATAAATTTCGTTCCGAATCTGATTTATGCATAAAAGACCAAAATTTTTGTCGATAACATGTTGACATACTTTAGCGCCATACTCGCTTATGCACGGGAATCTGTTTCTTCACCGAGCGCATAAGCATTTTTATCTTTGTTGTTTACAAGACTAATGACAGTAGCATAGTGCGTGTGCATGGACGTCTATGAATGAATTCGAACGTATGTGAAACCAAGCCACTTCCAAAGTTAAGCAGGAATAATGAGGTCAGCACCGAGATTTCCACTTTATTTCTTGATTTGTTGTTTCCCCCAGGAAATTAGTGATCGACTTCGATTGTTCCGAGAACAGACTAACGAAAAAGTATTCTTAGAGGAGTAGCAAATTGGAAAGACTAATTCTATACGGATTTCAGAGGGGCATAATTCTGCATTAATTTTTACAACTGATTCGAGTATTTATATCTGTCCTCGGCCCGCTTCGAAGCGGAAATTGTAACGCGGTCTCCGTTCTTCGGTAAAGTTCTGTACACCACTAAACGATGCACAGTTCGAGATATTTCCAAAAATACTTTAATATTTCCTTAGTGAAATGGCCATTTCTAAAGAGTTCGGAAAGGCGCAGACACTAAGCTACTTCTGATTTTCTCGCCGAACAATTGAGACAACAAAGGAAATTGAGACCGGTGCATTTTTAGCGGTTGCTCGTGTTTGTCTTATGTATTCACTGAGCCCTCAATTTACTTAACTGCTCCTGATTGTATTCGACTTGGTAAAGCCAATATGGATCTCTGTCGGGATTTCCTGTCTCATTATTACCTATTTTTGCCTCCATGGAAACTAATTATCAACGAAATAACGAAAAGTGTCAATGAGCTTTGAACATTGCGTGACAGAAGGGAGTAAGTGATGTTCGCATTCTTGTAACGGCCAGTCAGCTCTCAAAGATTCCTTACCAAAAAAAATTTGGTCGCCTAAGACTGTGTGTGGCTACTGATATGGCACAATTACCAAAGCATCGAACAGAAATACAGGTTGAATAATGACGCTAGAAGTTAGTTCTTAGTTCTTAGATCGAGTTTTAAATACAAGAAACAGGAGTAACGCGCTGCTGTGTGATAGCGCTGCTTGTCCCAGAATTACTCACAATGACCTCATTGTGTCACTTGGACAACGTTGCACTTCAGTCAGTGTGAAGTTGGACGAGCTTAAGGTTGCGCCGGCGTCCCAACGTGAGACATTTATGCAGAGGTAATCATTGAGCAGTGATGATATCTGTTTCTTGTGAGCTAATGCAACCCTGAGGCTAGTTTACGTAAGTACCAGACATTCTATCCATTGACCACAGTCAGACAACCCGGATGTGTCCTCGTGTACCGGTACATAAGGGAACGAAACATTAACGAACTGCGTCACAACTCCATGTATGGATATGAAAACAATAGGAATTCCCCCGTGTACCGGTACACCAGGACAGCCCCGACAACCCTGTGGGTTTGAGGTCGCGTGACGTCAGTTATTTGATACGCTAGCTGAACGCTTACATTTTTTGTACTTTGCAGCGATCGATCTCGGCAAGACGCGAGAGATCTCGAGAAATGTTTCATAAATTCCGCAAATCGTATCATTTCATCCCCAAAATCCGCTTGATGACGGAAAGATAAATAATTTCACTTACCCTCTCCACGCCAGGGCTGGTTTGTACCGTCTTTCGACCAACACATTATGCACTGGAGTGGGGAAGGTCGGGTGAAATCTGAGCTCAGTTAGTGATTAATTTGAAATTTAATAAGGTTAATCGCAGGGATTGTGACGAACCTCTTCGGTCACATCATCTGTTGACGGCAGATGATGAGCGAATGTCGGAAATCGGGCACGCTTTTGAGGTGGCTAAAGGCGGGAAATTGCACTGATTTTTGGTTTGGCTCTTACACGTTTATCGACTTTTAACGTGCCCGAAGCTGGGAGGTGAGCGACATTTGGAAGCGAAAGAATTTCGGCGAAGTTCTGGTGACTTTCGGCCCTGACGGTCCTAGAAGTTGCCCGCCTTGTGTTTTTCCTTTGCCTTTGGAGAAGCATCAGCACAAAGCGGGGAATTAACCGTCCCAAAACCCCGCAAAGTCACTCGAGACAACACAGAAAATAATTTACCTGAACGAACCGTTTCTCAATTGTTTAGCGAGGTACAGATGTAAAGCTAATTCTGATTTACCGCTAGAAATTCTGGGGTATGACTGCTCGTGGGGTACTCAGAATTTTTCATTGTTCCACACTTTTAACCAAATGAATAATGTATCTCGTACCGAGCTAAATGATTTAGAAACTTTCTTGGGCTACCTTTTCTTTAGTGAATGATCTCCAGTCACGCAATTAATGTTTAAGGCGTCATATCACTTTTTCTTAATGCGGAATATGACATCAAGTTCAGATTCAACTCGGAGTATATAAGGAAACTTAGTTTATACCTTAGACAAAACAGAGCACTCGCAAAAAAACCTCTGGTCCCGATCGCAGGAACTAGTTTCTCTAACTTTAATTTTTCGTCCCAAATCTTTCGCGACTCTGCCACCAATGCACAATTTCCCTGTAGATAGGGATGTGTCGCTTGACTCCCATCAATTTGAGAGCGCCAACTACCTAGCTTGGACATGTAGTCGCCTTCTCTCTAATTCTTAAAGGTGTCGAATTCATCGGACGTACCAATGCAGGGTAAAAGGAGGGTAGATTACCCCCCCCCGCTCCCCCTTCCCTGCACTCCCCTACCGTAATTTGGCGAAGCTAGCAACGTAAAAGTTGAGATACGAATTATGCTACGCTACGAAGGGTCTGTGACAGCATTTAAAAAGGTGAACATTTGGGAAATAAATGTTTATTTCGTCTTGAGATGAACTTTTATGTCTATTGATTCCAGTTCATTCTTACTCTTCCTTAAAAATAGATCAGAGTAGACACGATGTTTCTAAAATACTGCATTCTATTGGCCATCTTTCTCGGATATAGACTTTGTGAGAGCGAGATAAATATTTCACGACAGTTGAATGGCACTGTCATTGGTAACCAGACCCTTGCGCGTGCAGATGGGCCATACTTGGTCACCAGTGACCTTGTTGTCCCAGAATATGTCACTCTAACTATAGAACCTGGTGCAATTGTGAATTTTGTTCCATCTGTGGGGATTCGTGTTCGTGGATCATTTCACGCTCAGGGGACACCTTCGCAAAGAATTACTTTCCGAGCGGTTCCCTGTGGAGAAACAAGTTTTTGCAATAAAACAGACGGGGCTTTATTCTACAGTCACGGGATAAGACTTATAGATGGATCGTCCTACAACAACGGGCGCCTTCAGCTGCAGTATAATGGAAGGTGGGGGACTGTCTGCAACGACTGGGGATCTTGGGATCTCACAGATACGCACGTGGCCTGCAGACATCTTGGATTCCTTGGGGGAAAGCGGTATTACTATGATCCCGGCAGCGGCCCCGTGATGATGAGGACAGTTGGCTGTAAAGGAACTGAAAAGAGTCTATGGGATTGTTCTTACACGCTATCTTCCTGTGGTAAGTTCATTTTAGTCCTAAACAATGCTTTTGTTGTTTGCCGAATGTGCCTCTCCATGGAAAAATTCTCTTTCTGGCCGCAAAGCAAGTGATTACCGACAAAACTATATAACAATATGCCCTCACATCTGGTCGGGTAAAGTCTATTTAATTCATGAACTAAGAGAAGCTTTCGCTCGCGTTTGAAAGCAAGATGGTCCCTACGGGCAGCGAAAAAAGTGTAACTGAAATACTTTTCTCACTAGTAATCAAGTACAGGTGACAAATGCTCGGCTTTTCAACGTCTTAGTCACCTTTCTGTGGAACCGGGTACCGAAGACAACCTTTCCTTCGAGAAAACATCATTATTCATTTTCCCCATACTGTTCTCTGTACAAAGTGCTCTAAGGTGCTGACAGGGAGAATTAGTCTAACAGTCAGGAGTTTCTTCAGTTGGTTATCATTTCGTTTATTCTTGTGATATTAATGTGTGATTCAGTGGTAATGATGTGAGGAGAATTAGATGTTAGTCACTTCGTTAGGCATTTAAATGCTTGGTGTACGCTCTGTTTTAACTTTCTTTTGATCTTCGTGGACATCAGGCTGAGTTAAATTTGGATTTCTTGTGATAATATGAAATTTTTGCACTATGAAGCTGAACACTTCGTGTGGCTATCAGGTGGGTGACCTTAGTCTCCATATGAACATAAAATTATCCTGAATGGCCAACTCACCCACCCGACTTGAAACCCTAATACAATTTTATTAATCTTTAGAGAAACAGAGCATAGATCAAGGGAGGAAGAGGTTGTGTCGAGGTCCCCAGAAATCATTTCAATGAGGACTTTCGTCAGTAAAAGCGTCAAACTACAAAATCGGCTTCTTTTAAGCCACTAACCACATTTCTATTTTAAACCCTTTTATTTTCCATCGCAACAACATCGATCTCAGGTCACAGCCGGGACGTTGGCATTGAATGTGACACTCTCTTGCCATATTTGGCCGAGATTTTTTATTGGAAAGGTATTTACTTCGAGCCGACGAATTCCTCTGAGATGAAAAGAAGCTCTTCTCTTGAGCACGTGGACATTGAGAATGCTCTCGAGGCGGTAAATGCCGTGAAAAGCGCTCCAGATTTACTAAATGTTAGAATCAACGATTGCGCCTCCGGCTTAAATATAAAAGAACTTGCCAAACCCTTGGCCGTAGTCGATTCTTCTATCCTCGGGCCTATGCTGGCTGGTGTGAACATCGAGAGCTCCTGTGGTTATGTTTTCATTGAAAATGTCACAGTCCAGAATGTACGATTTGGAGGAGGCCTTATCTATAAGCGCCTGGCAGTGAATCTCTGTTCTGTCATTCCAGAGAAAGCTTCTTTTCCTTTGCTCCTAAATGCCGCTGGAAATCATCATCCGGTTGATTGTAGTAAGGTAGGATCGAGTGTTTTAGTTAAAATGTCTGAGTGACTTGGTAAAAAGAACTACGGAGTACGCTTTGAATTCAAAACCAATATAATGTGAACTTTAGAATATCTATCAATATCCAACACCTTTTCGAAAACAGTTTTTTTAGTCAACTTGTGGTTCAAGTTTCTTGAACTTTAGTTAAAATGTACAGGTTTTTGTCACATTTGGTACATATTTCATTCAAGATTTTACAAGGTAGAACGACAAGCTTCTAATAGTGAGGGATTTAATTTTTCTATCAAACCAGGCGAATCCTTTAAGGAAAACAACGCGGTCTCCATGAGCTGAAAGTTCTGGATCCTTGGCGATCCTTGGAGAATTGAAGGAAAAAAATATTTTGATTATTATCGAAATAATGTGAATTAGAAAGGACACTTCTTCTCTGTTATAGGTAGTGGTTTTTATTCGAAGGGAAGATTTTTCATGAAGATCGCAATGCAAAAAGACAACCCCTGGTTAAGGGGAGTTTCATTCCTCCCCATATGCAGACACTAGTTTTCAAACATCTAAAACTAATAGCCAACGACTGAATCAGTAAGTTTTCTCGAAGGCTACAGGAAGAAAACGCCTACATCAATGCCTCTTTTTCCATTTTCATCTGTCAATTGAAGTCGATTCGCACCTCTCGAATGTTATTTTTTAGGATATTTTTCCTCAAAAGGAAAGTATTCGTGAAAGACATCTAAATTATCAAAATGTTGAGCCAGGTTTCAGGCTCTATAGGACTAACCGCAACTTTTAACGTAGAGAAATACTTATCTGTATGTTGCTTCCTTTTTTTATCAAAACTCTTCCAGTGAAAGAAATGAATTAAAAAAAACATTTGCATTCTTAAGATTTTCAGAGCTTCACCAGGAAGAAAGATCTCTGTGTATTTGAGAATAATTAATGGAAGTGGATTTGAGCTAAATATTACCGATGCAAGCACAGCTATCAAAACCAGACTGCACAGAATCACAAGGGACTACAATGGAAAGACATTTAAGACTGGTTCTACTTCTATATTGGAACTTTCCTTCTACTCTAAAGGCAGTTCCAACTTGGAAATGGTCGTTATGGAAGATCAAGGTAGCTCTGTTTCTAGTTATGTCTTAAAATAAGACGAACTGGTCCATCTGCTGTTCCCTTGAGCAGTTCATCACTCATTCAAAAGGGTAGTTGTGTAACCGCTCCATCAGAAACCTCGTCAATTTTTCCTTTGATTGACTAGACCGTCAGTCAGTCGACCGGTCAGTCTGTCGGTCGCTCATTCGGTCGTTTGCTTGTTCTTTCGGTGGGTGTTTAGTTCGGTCAGTCAGTCGGTCGCTGAGTCAGTTAGTCAATAGGTAAGCTAATTACTCAATAAGGAATCGACCAGAATAATTAATTAACTATCCAATACGAAGACGAAATGACCGCCCACAATTAGTCTATAAATTTGTTTGGATGATGTATGCTCTTCGTAACATTAATCCATTGGCTTTTGATCATTTGTAGGCGAGACTTCATCACTTGTGATAACTAACAGTACCTTTTCTAACAATTCTAAGTCTGGTATTACCGTTGACAACTTGATTGGTAATTCTCGAATCTCCCAGACAACGGTGATAGGGAACAAATACAATGGACTCTACATAACCAAGACAACAGGTACTTTAGAATTTACCGACGTCAATTCCTCGAAAAACCAAGCGTCAGGAATCGTAGTCGATGCTGGAACTCTTTCATTCCGAATGTCTGACAGCCTTGTTGAAGAAAATGGTGGTCAAGGATTGCACATCTTAAACCAGGTCAACTCCACAATCAAGATTTACAACTCGCAATTTGTTCGTAACAGTAACGGTGAAGGAGTTTATTTACAGGCATTTCGCTACTGCTATGTTCGACTAGTGGAAGTACTGTCTCTTGAGAATTCGCAAAATGGGGCTCTGTTTACGAGATTATCCGATACCAGATTAAATTTCAGCTCTTGTAAATTTGACGGAAACTCGAATAAAGGAGTTTACGCTGACTACTTTTTAAGAGGAGGACTTCACTTAGAGAAGATTTCTACCTCAAACAATTACAGATCTGGTTATGCTTTCGAATTTGGGGATACCAACATAAACATAGAGTCGTCGTCTTCTTTTGGTAACGGCAGGGATGGTTTTTACGTAGAAAATCAAGGAGGAGAAGTTGTCTTAAAGGATTTTGTTGCTGGTGGCAACAAACGAAACGGATTGTGGTTTCCAGATACCGAATCAGCTCGTCTTCGATCAGTTCATCTTATAAGCTGTAATGTTTCAGGGAACATTCAATACGGTGTGCTCTTTTATCTCACGTATAGATTTGATCAACGCCCGGAGAACTATATCATTAAGGTTTCAAACTCCACAATTTTCAACAATTCTCTTGGTGGTTGTAAGATCTATCCTTCTAATTGCGGTTGGGGAAACGATGGGTGGCAGAGAAGCGTTCGACTTTTATTCACTGGTAATAAAGTAAAGAGAAACAAAAAAAATGGTTTGGATATCTATGGCCCTGAATGGTACGCGTTATCTGCTGTCTTGGCTAATAACATATATTACGAGAACAGTGGACTTGCTCTGACAGTGAGACATGGGCGAAGGTGTTCCTATGAGAATTCCTCACCCTTCAATCTGCAGGTTTCATCCAACATCTTTTTGAAGAATAAAGGGGAGAACATATTTTTCGTTGATTGCGGAACGTTACCCACAAAATGCCGTGTCACCATCAGAAACAACACGTTTTTAGACAATCAAAGAATCCGCCTGTTTTCTAGCAATTACCTTCGAATTAAAACGCAGGCAGTTTTAGCTGTAAACGGAGGCAACGTTACCATCAAGTTTAATTCGTTTATCAATCCTTTGTTCTCTCACGAATTAGCAGCACTGCTTAAAGACCGCGAACACGTTCTTCTTGCGGAAGAAAACTGGTGGGGAACAAGAGATGAATGTAAAATAAAAGACCGAGTGTTTGACTTTGAAGATCGAGTGGAACTTGCACAGATCCAATATTATCCATTTTTGGATTCCTACAATTCTACCAGCTCTAAATTACACGATGGTGTCAGACCTTTCTGTTTTCTTCGAGGTAATAAGTTAGGAGGAACATTAAATCAAGTATTCAATATTACAAACCAAACTGATACCTACAGAGTTATCAGTGATGTTACAATATTGCCTGACGGCGTTTTGTTCATGGAAGGAAACATCACTTTAGAATTTCCATTGAAGAGCGTTTTCCTAGTACAAGGAAAGGTTATCATAAAAGGCACTAAAAAAGAACGGGTAAAGTTCCTTCCAAGAGGACCATTGCAACAGGACATTAGACTCGTCGGAGGTCCTGCTCCGTGGGAAGGGGTAGTTGAAATATGGATCAACGGCAGGTGGATGCCAGTTTGTATGCGCACCTATGGATACGAGCACGACATAGTATGCAGACAATTGGGATATGAACCGGTGGACTATTATTACCATGACCCAAGTGGAAAAGAGAAAGAATTTCTACATAATGTCATATGCAGCACAGATCAAGGAGACAGCGTAACCATTTGCAACAAAAACAACTGGAATGTATTATCATCATGCACAAAAAATGTTTTGTATGTCGGCTGCAAAATTCCTTACTGGGCTGGCGTTCATCTTGCTGTGACTTCAAAGGAAAGCGTCTTCAGCCATGTCGAGGTGCGCTATGCAGGTTTTCCATATAGAGACGACCTGACTATCCCCGGAATCGCCTTCAGAGTGGATCTCCCTCGTCACGTGATCACCGGTGTCTTTGTGAGTAATTCTGCTGCCATTGGTTTCCAGATTATGTATCCAGACCCCCTAAAAGATTCAAATACAATCGAGAATTCAACAATAGCTAAAACTGAGTCGGATGGAGTACGTTTGGAGTCTCCATTTATCGAGTTCATAAGTACAAATGTCGTAAACACAAAAGGCTACGGATTTTCGTATCGTTACAACTGGAATGCTCTCAACACACACGTGGTAAAAATGGCAGATGCAACTGTGAAGAAGTTTGTGGACATATGCACTGAAAGTCAAACATTTATCAGTGACTCTAGTATGGTGTATTATCTAGTTGTGAAATTACGGAGCAAAGCAGCTTGCAGGGCCATAATTACCGTTCCACCGGAATATACGATAGTATTGCAGCTAATATATCACAAATTATATGGCATAGATTTCCACGTGTACAATGGAACAGACAAGACAAAGGGCACTCTCTGGGATATCCATAGGTTAGATCGGTACAGCCGTCCTGCTTGGATGTCTGGCAATAGCTCAATCCTACTAGAGAAAGGGTATGGATATCCGTATAAAGACGACACGGTGCATTTCCTACTGTTTCTCACCAAAAGTAAGTTCAGCTATTACTTTAATCATATCGGGTTAAGCAGTGATCTCCGTCGGTAGACTGCAATTTTTGCAATTGCAAAAAATAAGCTTCAGGGTTCGACAGGCTTTGAACCGTGCCTCTGCCTATTTGGACGCTGTTTGCAAAAAATCTCCAAAGCCACACCGTTGGGGTAAGGCAAATTTTACAGTTCTTCTTCCCCGTGGAAGAATTTTACCACAATTTTTAGTGTAATCAAAACTATCACAAAATGGTCGTCAGCAGTCCGATTTGAGCACTAATAGGACGGTGTACGCGTCATGCTTGTAATTAGATGGTGCGATCTGTGCAAGTAGACAGATCGCGCCATGTGGGCGCGCTGTTGCCTTGCATTTCGCCGAGTTAACTTTTGTTTTTTTTTTTATGAAAGGGATAACCGATGTCTAGTTTCTTGCTCAAATTTTGTCATAGTTTTGATTGATGGCAACAAGACTTCGTGTTGTCCGATTCCGCCAGTAATCATACTTGTGATAAACAATTCAGACTCCCCCTTCGTGGTCATCTGATTTTGTTAATCACTCGTATGATTACAGACCGAATTGGACTCCACTTAGTCCTATTACCTCTATAAACAGAAATTTAAGGAAATAAACTGTTTCATTATGAAATTGATCATATCGGTGGTAACATTTCAAGAAAAAGTAGTCGATTAATGGATCCCTTGGTGATTTTCACGATGTCAACAAAAAGACACAAGTCATCACTGAGGATGATCATTCACCAGTTTGTTGTTTTAAAAACATGTTTCTTAAAATTTGATCATGATCTGAATGATCGAGTTTCATTGTGTATTAATATATTTTGTAATAAAGGCTGTCAAATGCACCTCTTTACTCGTAATGAGGTGGGCAAGAGTTGCACTGCAAGGATCGGAATCCTATTTTGTGATCAAAGGGCCTAAAGTTTATTTAATAACCACTTTCATCATCTGATTATGTTATTAAAACAATGAAAATTTTTTAATACAGATTAAAAATTCAGTTATTGATCACAATCCATGGAACTTTCCTCTAATTCTTTTTTTTCACAGACATGCTTTATGTCAGAAAAAAGTTTTGCAAGGCTCAGAGTAGTATTCATAAACAATTATTTTTGTTTTCAACTAACAGGTGGGGGAAAGACGAAGATCAGATCACCAAACCTTGTAATATCCAAAAGCAATTTCAGCCACAACAGTGAAGGTGGAATTTTGTTGGGTGGAGATAACGCAGGAATAGTTGAAATCGAAAACACGGACGTACGAGACTCACCCAAGAATGGCTTGTCGACAGAATTTTCCCACGTTAACAGCTTGAAGCTGCTGAATTGCCAGTTCGTTAGAAACAAGATCGGAATCAAGCTCTCTTCATTTTCAGGTAACGTGAACATCGAGAACACCAAGGCTTCTAACTCGACCGAAAATGGACTTTATGTCGACACGAACGGTGAAAAAACAATCCATATTGAAAATGGTGGTGTTTTCCATAGCAATGGATATGGCCTTTTTCTGGATGGTAAATATACCGAAGTGAAACTTACTGCAACCAGGATATTTTTTGGATGGAATAAGGCATCTTCTGTTTATTCGCGTAGTTATTATGGCTGCAATTTGCCTTGTTCATCCCATACTTCCTTTACAAACTGTACATTTTATGTCAACCGAGGCCCTGTAATAGACATTAACGAGTCTCCACACTCTAATCCATGGCAATTTAACGGTAACCTTTTCCTGAATAACACTCAAGGTCCTGTTATTTTGACTACGCGTCATACGAATAGATACTACACTCCTGAATTATTTGTGAGAAACAATAGTTTCTTGTTCAACTTTTGCCAAGATAAAAGCGTCATAGACATTATAGGAGGCACAAAAGTTTTGATTGTAGAAGGAAACATCTTCAAACAAAACTACGGGAGATCCGTTTTTATAGGAAAAACCTCTCCTTCAGGCGCAACTATAAGAAGTAACGTTTTCACAAACAATAGCTGCCTGAATTGTGGAGTCATTGAGATTCAGAGGATAGGTAAGGACATCGCAATTGTTGACAACATTCTTAAATCGAATAAAGGACAATTTATGGTTCTTCTCCAGTGCGAATACGTTGTAGGAGTGAACACTGGCATTAAGAATGTAACGTTTTTGAATAATTCACTCCTGAACAACGTGGCTGTATCATCAAGTTCCCCAACCTGTCAGTTAAAAGTCTCTGGATTTGCGGAATGGAGACCATTTTTCATCCGTTTCAACAGATTTAGCAGCCAATACTTCTCAAAAGAACTTTGTGTAAGCACCCAAGATTCCTCGCACAGCAGCACAATGCAGGCTTCATTAAACGTCTGGGGTTATGATGACGAGGAAAAAGTCAAGGAAAGAATCTTTGATGGTGAAGACAACTACGAACAAACATATGTTGTTTTTCGTCCTTACATCAGTAATGCAGGAAACATAATAAAGGGTTCGCAAGAAAATACTACCTTTAACACGCTATCGAAAAGCTTTCTGGGAGGAAGGATATTATCCAACGTTCTTCTAAGAAAAGAGAAAAGTCCTTACACAGTTGTGTCCGATGTCACTATTCTGCCTGAAGCTTCACTTTCAATTGATCCTGGTGTTGAGGTGCAATTTATGCCAGGGGTTGGCATGTTGGTTCTTGGTTCACTCTTTGTGGGCGGAAATGTAGATCAACCTGTCAAATTTTCTCTTTCAAAAAGGACAAAAGATGCCGATTCTCTTAAAATTCGATTAGCTGAAGGTAAGTTCCCTTGGGAAGGACGTGTACAGATACTACACAATTGGAATTGGACCTCACTGTGTTTCAATGAGACGCAGGGCAATAAAACTAATGACGTAAAACTGATATGTGAACGCCTGGGCTATCAAGCACCATTGTCCGTCAATCATTCCCATCACGAATCGTCCGGCCCTTGGGATGCTTGTGCCACTCTTCAGTGTAAAGGAAGTGAGTTAGATTTAGCAGAATGCTCTATATCTTTCCAAAGCCTTAGCTGCAACACGTCGTGTCATCTTGTGTTGAACTGTGGCGAAGGAAGGCCTTGGGGAAATATAAGATTTCTTCGCGAAGCTAGGAACACTTCAAACCTATCAACATCAAGTTTAAAACATCTAAGAATTGAGCACTGTGGCGAGAAACATGGCCAAAACGTGGCTGCCATTGAAATGATTCAGTACGTTGCAGAAGTAAATCATGTGACTGTTCTTAACTGCACATCAGGTGGTATCAAGGTTTTGTTCCCAGAAAAAGAGGTGATTATAATGAACAGTTCCTTCGTTAATACCGGAGGAAATGGAACTGATTTTATCAGTACGAAAAACAATGTTACACTTAAAAACGTCAAATCGATAAAAAACGAGTTTGGACTGAGTTTTCATGAAGCCTACGGTGATTGGTTCAATACTATTTCATACGGGAAAGTTAATCTGTGCTCCCCACAAAAAGTGGTGAATGTCATGGATCACGATGTATTCGTTTACTTTAGGGCACCATTCGTGTCTTTCTCAGATCTAGTGGTATCCTGCCAAATAAAAGTTCAAACAGAGGCAAGTGCTGGTTTTGCTATCCAGCTACTACTCCTAAAAAATGTGAGATCTTTTCGGATAGAACTGCCTAATAGACGTGACATCTTCAGGACTTATGGTAGCAGCCTAGGTCTACTCTTAAAAAGAAACTTGATCAGGTGGGATTCTTTTACAGTCCACTTTGAGGGACGGTACAGTAGCGAAATGCTTTTGCAAGTTCAACGTGTTGATATCAAAGGTTAGTGGCTGTAAAATTTTCATTTTTATTATTATTATTATTATTATTATTATTATTATCATTATTATCATAACCATTATCAATATTATTATCACTCTCGTTATCATTACTATCGTTCTCTTTATCGTTATCGTCAGTGTTCGCTATCGTTAACGTCAGCATTTTAGTTATCATAATCATTATCAATTATTGTCGTCATCCTTGTCATGGTCAACATTTTTTCTTTCTTTGCCTGTACATAAAGCACAGGCCGCACATGGAGAGTTTGAAAAGAAGCGGTGGGAGTCCAATTTTGAATCAGGAAACATTGATCTTTTTTACTATTTTTTCAATCTGGAGCCAAAACAAGCTAAAAAAATTTAAAGACAAAGCAATTTTAGATACTTCAAGTTGAGAAAAATTCGTGATTCTGTATTTGCAAGAACTTTGGTGTCGCACAAGTGATAGGAAAAACCCAAATGTCTGAAGAGGATTGGGGCTTAGACTACTGGACCCCCATTCTGGATTCGCTACCGTAACGTCTGTGCTTTGTTTAACAACTGTTCGGTAACACCTAAGTGTATTATGTGAATGGGCAGATTGTGCCAATACGATGGGATCTGATAACAAATCTGCCTAATTTTCCTCAGATATTCCATGCTCATTTGACCGGGGATTTTGTGACTGGAGACGCTATCCAAAATCACATTTTGAAGGAGTTGCCTTGAGGAAGAAATGGTATGTTGGAAACAGTCGCTATGAACACACCTATTCAGGAGGCAATGGTGAGTTGTAATAAGTAATAGAAGATTGAACTTTAACGATTATAGAGAGGACATTCGGATGCGTCAATCTCCTAAGCTTACATCTATCTTGTGATCGGATATGAGCTGACATAGGTTACAGCTCGAATGTTCTACGAAGTAGGAAGTTAGCTGGAGGAGCCGAGAACTCCTTCCGTCGACAAAACGTTTTCCTCCCGGCCGCTTTTATGGATATCGTTCTCTCGGTCGAAAACGTAGAAATAGATTTTAGGACTATGGGTGACTCAGTGAAACGTTCTACCTTATCGAGTAAATTGGAAGTTCTTGAGAACAACTGTACGTAAAGTTCAAAAGATCGTTAAAGGACATCAGAACAGCAGCCCAAGTAAAATTGGGACTCTGAGTTTTTCCAGGTCAGCACCCACCGGAGCAACAAAGTTAGGGGTGTGTACATTCAGCTGAGTTGGAGGCAATCGACCAAACAACTAAACGATAGAATGACAAAGAGAGAAGGCTGGAATTGTGCCAGTGTCGGAAAGCGTTGATCGCCTGAGAACATTTTTGCCTCAGGAATTCAAAATACTCCGCCAGGACCTTTCTCATCGAGGTCGTGTTTGTTGATATCTTGATCTCTGAGTCCTACATGTCGACTTCTAGTACTCTCAAAGGATTGGCTGAGAGGAGCAATCTTGAAACTATGTCAATGCCAGTGTTGTCGATCAAAAAGAGGATTTCGTATTAACTGTGACCCGGGACTTGAACTTTCGAAAATCTTGTTGATACTGTCTCATTTAGAAGGGGAATATTCCTATGCAATCTCAGCTGAAGTGGTAATGAGCGCTTACACTGTAACAGAAGCATGGGATTTTTCGGCTCTCCCCATGTTTTTCTGTAGACAATTTAAAGTTTTGAAACTAACCTTTAAGGTGTCATATATTTCACCCTCTCAAATTATATCAGATATTTAGTAACGAATCGCATCCCCTGTCTTTAAGAGTATTACTGCTTAAATTACCATGGTTAAAACAGCAACAAATGCGAGTATCTGTCAAAGACGTAATCAAATGTCATATTTGATTTATATCTTACGCAGGGGGATTACTATATCTTTGGCGACACTCGTTTTCTGGTTACGGTGCCTTTACCAGCCCATTAATTTCCAGCGACAACAATTACTGTTACTTGGTGTTCTACTACAAGCGGGATGACCATTACTCCAAGTCATCAACAGCGCTGTCCATTTTTCTGATAGAAGACATTAGTAACAATTCGACCTTGCTCTTGTCCGTTAGCGATTACGTGACAGACTGGAAAAAGATCGTGATTGAGCTACCCTATACTGACGCCAGTTACTCGATTGTGATATTGGGATATGAAGAGTACAACAACATAATTGAAATCGATGACCTGGCCTTCGTCAGTTGTGACCCATGTAAGTTGTGATATATTTCAAATTGACATATACATTACAGGAGAACTGCACATTAGCTAACGAAATCCTTAGTGTTTCACAAAAAACATGCTGATCAAATAAATTACACCGTAACAGCTAAATAATTGCCTCCTTAAGTTTTAGGGAATTTTTTAATTGGTGAACGTTGATAAGCATGGCGCTGTGCGCGAGGTTTTAAAAAGCATCCCAGCTTTTGACAAAAATGGTTCTTTGGTCAGCCAGGTATTCAGTTAGGGTCGTATATGCTTGGTGTTGGAGGAACTGGGGGATACTTTTCTTCCCTCAAGGGAGGAATTGTTTTCCATAAGTGATGTTTACGTTATGTGGTAAACGTCTAAGTAAAAGAAGGTGATTCATTGATGTCTCCCCCATAATTTTGGTCGACATTTCCAATCCGTATACAGACTAATGTATTAAGGCTTGAAGAAGATAAATGTAGCCAGGAAATTAAATACTGAAATTAAGATAACCTCCCTTGAAGCTTGTTTGCCTCGAGCTGTACACAAAAAAAGGTAAATTTCATTTTCTTAACAGCTGCCACTGCTGTACACCAAGTAACCGGAAGTGTTTTTAGTGGTAACGAGAAACAAGGTATACATTACACGACGACTCAAAGTGAAAGCCGACATATTTTCAGAGTAGAACGTTGTCAGGTAACGAACAATGGTCTGAATCCTGTCCTTACTGGAAGCCTACCAGGAGCGATTCACCTCAATGCTTCCAACCAAGTGATTGAAATAGTCAATAACTACATTGCTGGAAATAACAATGGAGGTATTTATTCCGAAGTACTCAATGAAGTGTCCACGACAAGACCACCAGTCAGCCATATCCATGCAAACACCATAGAGTACAACAAAGGAGGCACATTACGCGTAGAAGGAGTTTCTGGGCCCTATATGAATGTTAACGTGAGCAATAACTATTTTTCTCGAAACTTTGCACGAGATTTGGATGGCAAAGCAAATAGCGTCTGTGTCATAATAAAGTTATGGGCGATTGTTCAAGGAAATTTATTTTATAGCAACGTCGGTCATTACGTTTTCCTGTATGATAATTCTCAAACAAGTACTGTTGGTCTTCGATTTGTGAATAATACATTGTACAAGAACGGTGCAAGGGGGCTCGATGTTAATTACGGAGCGACTATTCTGTGCAATGGAACAGCAGAAATTCATGGAAACGTTTTTCAGAATCCTAACAACCGCTATCAATTCAGTACCACAATGAGAGGGAGTCCAATCACAGTAAATGCCACTTTAAATTGGTGGGGAGAGAATGTACCAAATCTGATTTCTTCTCTGATTATGGATAAGACAACGGATTATCGACTGTCCATAACAGTTGTGTTCCAGCCGTTCGTCAAGCTACCACCCCAAAGAGCTATATCAGGTCAATATGTTTTGGACTTTCCAGGTCCAAGTCTATCTTTTATGTTGTTTAGATGTCTCACTCTTCCAGCTTAGAATGAACCTCTTTTGTATCAAAATACTGCTCAGCTACTTCAAACATCAATTCCCTCTCAAAATGTTTAAAACTGTCAACTCTTTCCTCAATTAAATCGAAATAAACCGTATTTTGCTAAGTGTTTTTTGTTTTTTTTTTCATCACTTTATCATAATTTAGAATACAAAACAGCTTATCAATTTTCAGCTCATCAGTTTTTTATCTCATCAATTGTCTTCTTAGTATCTTGCCCACCTGAATGGATTAAAGACGATGAGATGTGTTACATGTACAAAGGAGGCTCCTTCACTTTCACTGATGCCGAGAAATATTGTGGGGTAAGCGTGGTTGATACTGACACTCTATTTTAGTCTCTCCTTTTCTCTTTCTCCATTTGTCCGATGGAGCTGAGACTAGATGAAATGAATTTTGAGGTGAAATGAATGCACTAGGTGGCGAGGCAAATCAGCTCGAGGGCGACGTGACTCAGGGCGATGTAGGGGGGCTTCATTTGCTTTCTCTCCTAGTCCCTCGGTTTCGCTTTCCTCGAACTGTATTTTGTTTCTTTATTAGAAAAGTGCCATATGCTCGCTTAGCGTGTTATTATATGTTCATTTGCAGAGTTATGGTGGAAATCTCGTCACCATGCTTTCAAACGAAGACAAACGACTCATAAAGCATCTTCGACAGAAAGAATCCTTGGTTCATTCAGGCGTGTTGCCTTCCCTGTGGACCATAAGCAGGCGCTTTTTAAGAGAGGTTAGAAAACATCAAGCTCGATATTTAGTTTCTGTTCCACAGGTATTTTTCAAGTAATTTGATTGCCCAATAATATCATGGGCACCAAATAACGTTCATAGCCTCGAATCAACCCGTGTCGACTCTTGTTTACGCGATGAACATTGTTTACAGATGACCAAAGAACATTATCCTCATGAAATGGGTTAAAAAACCCGCACAAGGCCTTAGACATGCATTGTTGTCGGTGCGAGGTCTTTGTATAAACACTTTTTAAACAAGAATTGTAATACTTTTAAACTGTTTTACCCTAAACGCAAATGAAACATTCTGCGGTTTTGCTTTAGTGCGAAAGTATCTTCCTGTTCAAAACGTGAAACTTAATCGCCATTTTGGTACCTTCGAAAAGGTTGGGATGGCTCTTAGTAATTTCTCATGCAACAAAATATTTTTTATGCTGAAATTTTCTTAAAAATAGTGGGTAGTTTTTCACCAACGATTGAGAGACAAAATAACCTAATTCCTCAACTGTTAAGACTCACTTAAGGCACAATGATGAGACCTTCCACCATTTTTGTGTATCCATCTATTTGTCTCATTTAATCCTTTTCTTTGCCTTTATTCTTTTTTTCTTGATTTTTTTCACGACAAAAAAATTAAATAGTAATTGTAATGTAAAAGAAAGAATAGCAGTGAACATTCGAGACATTTATCTTACCATTTTTCTTTACTGCAGTCCCACAGTGGATATGATCAGGAAAATAAAGTATGTCCTGTTGTGGCTGCTACCGGAAATATTTCACAGGTTCATTGTGATGAATTTCTGCCTTTTGTCTGCGTGCGAAGGCCAGGTAAATCACATTCAATATCATAATAGTCCATTTTATAGTAGTGTGCTTGGTCGCCAAGCCTTCGAACAGGAATGAGGTTAAGGGTGACCTTGTTATGACACAAACCTTGCTGCTTTTCAAATGCAAATTACTTTGTTATCAGGCTAACTAGATACTGGTCTCTATCACAACAAGATCACCTTCAACCTGACTCGAAATCAAAGGCTTGACAACTAAGTACACAACTGTAAAATGGCCTTTTGATAAATGAATTCTATAGTTGTATTACATGATCATGCTAGATGAATATCCAGACGAAATCATTTAACCTCATCACCCGACAAAAAGAAATAGTAAACTTGTCGAAACGCAGCAATCCCCAATTGATAGCTTGATTGTTCATCTACATGTACTAGTGACTCTAAATTGAAAGACAAAACCATTAAACTTTCATCATCATAGCAGAGATGAGCAACAATGATATAATCATCATTACCACTGAGGCGCACTCTGTCGATAATTTTGCCTGCTATGACGCGCTATATCATCATTGCCATTGTTACTATCATAATAAGATAAGCGCTTCTGTGCATAGCACCACGCCCCACAGCAGCATGTTTGATATGCAGAGTCTATAACGTGTATTTCCTCTCGTAGAATAAATAAAAGGACATCAATTCACGTTAAATATTTCTACAAGTACTGAATCACAGTAAAAACCAAGGGGAAGAGAGGGTTTCCATTCAGGCCCCTCTCGTGTCCTGTCCCTCGGCGGGGGTGACACCATGTCTCAGGAATATGCTTACTACTTATGAAGGAAGCAGGTACCAACTAGATAAACTTCCTTTTGGTTTCTTAGTTATCCACTGCCCGAACAGCTGTTTCCATAATGGGGACTGCATAGGTGCCACGTGTTTCTGTTACCCTGGATGGACTGGAGAAGACTGTTCCAAGTTTCACTGCCACGACTTGCATAACTGTTCTGGTAACGGTGACTGCATGGGTCCCAATGCCTGCAAATGCTACCCCGGATATTTAGTAAGTGGCATTTCTTTTCAATTCCATAATAGTTCATAACTTTGTTGACTGTAGCAAGTTTGATACCTGGCTAACAGGGCCACTTTTAAAAACCTGGAATCAGCCTTGGCTGGATAGAAACTAGATATGTGCTGCTGGTTCTGTGTGTGAGTGATTTAGTGCGCTCTCAGTAAGTGATCAAGAGTGTTAAACTTTATCTGTTAGAAATCAGATCTCAAGCGTCTTTATGGTTTATGTAATGTTAATCTCCACCATCTAAAACTCATATGAAAACTTATCTTAAAGCGCTTTTCGATGTTCTGCGGAAAATCTTTTCCAGTCTTACACAATTTGACAGATCGCCAATAGATGGAAGAAGGAGAAGTGAGATCGTGCTATAACCTCGCATTAGTGTGCAAGATCTAGGAAGCCAGCATTTTTGGTTGAGCTTCCAGCACATTTGAACAGAATTTTGGAAACGCTAGGTTAACTTTTTGAAATGTAGTCGCCACTAAGGACTCTAAAATGTCTTTAGCATTCTAATCTGATCAAAAGGACACCAGTCACTGCGCTTTCATGAATTTTCAACCATTGTGTTCGAGACCCATCGGTTCTGTCTCTGATCGCATGAGAATAGTAGTAATTATCTTTTCCAACACAACCTAATGCAGGAAAGTTTATGGATGTTTCTTCAGGGTCTTGGCTGCACTTACTCCTTCTGTGGAAAGTACGAAAGTTGTGCTGATTGCGTGACAGACCCATTTTGTGGATGGTGTGACAGTTCACGCTCCTGCCTCGGAGGTTTTGCCGCGGGGCCTCCAGGAATAAGTTGTCCCGCTTGGTTTTACTACCACTGTTATACAGTAGGAGACGGACGTTGTTCACGAGATATAATGGTAGGTGAAGAGGATAAAAATAGTTCATGGTGCGAACACATCAACACTATGCTACAATCAGTTCGATATAAGTAAGCAATGCAAGAGAGACGGGAAGGGGCGGCACTAGCGAGTGTTGCCTATCAGTTGGTTAGATATGTATTTCCGGATTATCTTTTGCTTGCTTGTTTCCTTTTTGTTTTATGCTTCGCTGTTTTTATTCTTTATTATAACTATCTTAAATCCAGCGGCCCCTGACCATGAGAGCACTCTCCGCTTCAAACACAAAGCAAACAAGCTGTAGTTTTACCTGATTGCATACCGGTTTATGCTTATAACTCTCTGTGTTTTGTTTGGTTTTCCTATCAGTTTCCCGATATACATTTGTGCTGCTACGCATCGAAGGACACCGTGAAATTGAGTTGCCCAAGAAAACCGAACAAAACATATGCACTGCCAATGCACCATAGTCTCTGGGCACGATGATTTGTAGAATAGTTAAAAATACTGCGCTACTCAATGTTCCATGCTTATCGTCAAACGAAAAGTGTTTTCACATATTTTTTCTTAAACAGAGGGTGAATTGTAGAGGTAGGCATTGCAACTTCAAAGATGGAGGAGCGACCATTGAATCTTGTCAAAAATGCAGCGATCTCGAAGGATGTCACAAAATCACAGTAAGATTTTTATCTTTACTTTCTGTTCCTCATCGTTGGTTATTAACAGTGACAGTTTAAGATAGTCTTCAAGGGAAAAAACTGAGTTGAAAGTAATGGTACATATATCTAGGTGCAAACAGCAACTAACAGTAAGTTTTAGTAAACTCCTTTGATAGAACCAGTTAATCTCACTTGCAGTATCATAACCAGTAAGTAGGAAAATTAAGTATGAAACACTTCGTTTTGAATGAAAACAGAATATTTGACCTATGGGAGTATATCTGGTTAGAAATCTCTACAGCTCTACCTCACTCTAATTGCCAACTGCACCGCGCCGTCTACGCCTCCCTTCCCCCCCCTCTTTTGTTTAAAAAAAAAAAAAGGGAATCGCAGAAGGAAGAAAAGCCGGCAGGGCAAGCGGCAAAAAACCGTTCCCCCCTCTTACCTCAAGGTTTGGATCCGCCATTGTGAAGGTGGTATTAATCTGTTACCTATTAAACCTCATAACAGGACGACAACCAGTGCAGGTCGTGGAATGAGACTAAGTGTCCAGGCGGGAAAATTAAAGTGAATTATACAGATCCCCAGAGAAGAAATAATGTGGAGTTTGCTAAAAACGTGAAGTTTGTGGAGCCTAACGAGACTCTCGTTTACGCATGTCCAGTAATTTTGCCAAATCAGGAGAAGGTGTCGCTAGTTTTAGTTGCACCAAGAGTCCTAAAATTTCAAAAGGGTGATATACTTTGTAGTCCTCAGGCAGGAGGTATTATGCATAAGATTGTCAAAGAAATCAGCGATGGTGAGTGTAATGGCTATAAATTTCTGTCACAACCTTTACATAGTCCTCGACCATATCGATCAGTTGAATACTTGAGAGTTTGTGGTTTTAAAAAAGCTCTGCGTTAGTAATTCTTTTAAGGGGCATGGCCTGTAAATGGCTGACATTGGCTTGCTACCAAGTGTCGCTGGAAAAGTTTTCCCGATTTTTTTCCAAGAACTGTACTCCATGAAAATATCAAATATAAGATAAGCCATCTGGTTACCGTTGTGAATTGTTTGAGATCTTACTGGACTACAACTTGATTTAAGTACAATTAATAGCGAAGGCATCTCTAAAACATACCTAATTGTGTTTAATGTTCAAATTTATTATTGTCTCGAAAGGTCCTTTTCAATTGATGTTGAGCGCCCCAGCAGGGTTAGAAGAGGTTATCAAGTATGCGGACTTTAAAGACGAAGTAACTGCGGTGCAAGTAGACGACGACTCGACGTTTGAGGATGAGCCCAATGAAGATGACCTGCGGGACGTTATTACAGGCAACATTACGTTCGATGAGGGTCGGGTAATTGCGCTTTCAAATGGTAGGTAAACATTTTTGTATCAACCAGCTTAATACTTCGTAAATGACTGAAGATCATTTAGTTATGTCTACGATTCAACGCGTTGTATAACTCCTAATAAGTGCATGAAAGACACACAAGGGAGCAAACAAGCACAGATACGATAAACAGACATACAAACTATCAGAACCTGCAAGATATTTCTGGTTCGAAAAGTCATACTCAACTAAAAAAAATTCAAACAGTTTTCTTAATCATCATTTTTAGAGATATACAAGTGCCTTGGTCACACATACGACACTGGAAAAATCATTGTCCACTCGTTTTACCTGGTAATAGAAAAGAACAATACCATCCCAAAGAAAGGTGACATAGTTGTGTCCAATACTAGTGATGGTTTTATCGAGACTGTTGTTAAAGTTCATAGAACGAACAACACCCATTACTTGGAAACGAAATTTCAGAGATGTGAGGCAAACTCTCATTGGAAAGGCACAAGGTATTTATGTTAATGACGACGCCTTGTTTTAATATTAGGCGGTGAGACGATGACATATCTGCACCAGTATGATTGGGGTAGGAGACATTTGACAGGGAAAAAATATCCCCTTCTTTCCCCAAACGCAACGATTTCCCGTAAACTGCACCTAGAAAGTTGTTGACTAATGACCGTGTTGGCATTGTTGTTTAAGACTGACATTTTTGCTTTGATGAAAAATTCACGCATCTATACTTATTAAGTCAACATGCATTTTATCAACTGTTCATAGACTTTTTAGATATATGAATGACTTATTGGGGTTGGCAAGCCTTGGCATGATTACTGGTGACTCAGTAATTTACTTATCGGACAACAAATAGAAAAATATCTTTAGCAACAAAAGTCCCAAATGATTGACCGAAGGAATTCCAGCTGGCTATTAAGAAGCATGAGCGAAAAGCCGAACTCTTTCGAAACCACTTCTGCCCACCACATTTTATTTACAAAAGTATTGTCGATAGAACTAAAATCTATCTACAGTTATTGTGCATTAAGCTGTTAAAGTGTAAGGGATTCTAGCCTGAAATCCAAGACCTTAGATGCCAGGCTCAACTTATCCTTAAGTTTTCGTTTGAGTTAATTTACTTTTACTTGCTCCCACAAACCAGACTACAGGAAAGTAAAACAAGGCTTTCTGGGTCAGTATCCTGCAGCGGAGGGGATAACAACGAAGGCCTTCTTCTGTCAAAACCAGAGGATGGGGATCGGCAGTTTTTTGTCAATGACTCAATTATTGGAAGACCAAGTGGAGCCTTCATTGCAAAGGTAATGTTCGTATTTCGTGAGGTCTATGTTAGATTAACAAATTAAATTACAAGCATCTTAGATCACTGAATACTAAGACTTAACGTGGTCGGTTGCAAAGAGTGCTTCCATCGTTCAGAAACTGGAAACTTATAGCATGTCTCTTAATAGAGTGACAAGTCAACTCAACAAACTTCAGGATATTTAATTTTAATAGGATTGTTATTGCCGTCCCCAGGAGTTAAATAGTGTTCTCCTCTTGGGAAAGAAAAATGTATCATAAAATTCATGATTCGAGATTTTTTTGGTGCGTTTATACCAGGTTGAAATCGAACTAGATGAAGTTGTCTTTGTTGAGTTGTGTCATTTGTTTCATCGTTGTCATTTTTTTCAGCTGCTTTTACATCTGGTAATCATCTGAGCTAACTCTACCATCTTATATCACCTCAAACCTCAGGTTGTAGAAGTCTACTCCAGCGGAAATTTTCTTCTGGTGGAAGTAATTTCTGCCAAATTGGACGGAAATGGAACCATTACTACAGCTGTAGATATAAACCTACTGAAACGCCACAACAGACGAAGTAGGCGGTCGACGAGATTCGATTTCGAATTGGCAAGTTTCAAACCCGACAGCATACATCACAAGGTACAGCACCTTTTAATAGTTCTACAAAAGTATTTTAAACGAACTGAGAATTAGGTAAATGCTATGTTAAGTTTGCTCTCTGATATCTATCTAAATCTTCTCAGTTTCCCCCCAAAATTATGTCCTTTAAAATTTTCATTTTCCTCAGTTGTTGTCAACGGAGAACGCCGAGCTACAAGTCTCTTTGGAAATGTTTTTCGAATTGACTATGTTTCTTGAGATAGAACCAAAGTGGTATGGGGGAATAGAGGATGCGGCTGTTGGTCTGGAGTTAGAGGGAAAATTAGATTTCTCTCTGACATTTGAAGTTGATGGGGAGTTGAGGTAAGCAATTTTAATTTAACCCCAAGATTACCCCGAATAATTCTTTCGGCAAAAGAAAATAAAATGAAATCTGAGAAACTGACGTTGCTGTGGTGGACAGTTTTTCGTTCTTTTCTGCGATGAAGCCAATATATTTTTTTTAACATTGATTCTTGTGTCATTTTGAGGTCCAATATAATCAGCTTACGAGCAAAAGACGACTTAGCTGATCGGGATTAATTAATCATCCTTTTTATGTTTGTCTACAGATATAAAAAAGACCTAAACATCATGAAAGAAAAACAGCTCGGTCGTTCAATTTACATTCCCGTTGGGCCAATTAAAATCCCTGCCGGTATCTTCTTGGAAATAACAGGATATGCATCTGCTGGATTATCTGTAAGTTGGCGATGCAATTCACTAACGTTTTAGTTTAACCACTGGCCTTGAAAACATCACAGCTCTCTCATTTAATGTCTATTATTTAAAATGATTGTACGCTATCATGTAACACTTCAATGAGTTAACACAAGCAAATGTATTTCCTCTATTGCCTATTCAGTCGCAGTCGGTGACCCAGTCAGCAAGCTACTCAGTCAGTCAGCTATTCAGTTTTACTATTTTTTGGTTGGTTGGTGCGAAATCAATGATGGGATGTAATGATTGCGTCCTACCTGTTTTAGTTGTCTCGAAGAGATCAAGGAGAACCAAAACACGAACGTGACCCAGCAAGACAACAAATATTCAATAAGTATAGTACCGTGGCCAAGAAGTTCGCAGCGGCAATTTATGCTTTCGAGTAGTTAAGGAAAATATCGTCCATTTACAAAGAGATTGAATTAACTCACTGTCTTTTTTTCCCCTAGGGAAAAATTTCCCGTGAATTATCAGTCAATGGAAGGGTCTCTCTTGGAGGCGAATGCCGTTGGAGCCGTGGTAGTTGCTACAAAACTGCTGATACTGTAAGGGAAGAAAAATTGCATAGTAATGTTTCAGTTTCTTCATCACTCAAGTGTTAGATGTACTCTATAAACTTTTTGCCGTTGGACTGGTCCCTACCTGTTGACAAAATGGCGGCTTGTACCTCTTGCTCTGTGTAAAGGATTGCAACACTGCTAATTTTTCACAAAGTTGTTCCAAATCAACAGATTTCTGAGCTTTTCCATGATTAGCACCGTTATACGTTGGTGGGTTTTCCGTGATTAGCACCGTTATACGTTTGTGGGTTTTTAATTTATCACGACCTCAATCAAGTCAAAACTTATTTGGATGATGTCTTTAAACATTCGTCTTCTTAAAATTATTCTTATCAATTATCCTCTTGCTAAGAAGATGAAGGCCTACCGTTCTCGCTTTGCATTTAGGATAGAAAAAAAAAATTGAACGCCTCGTCACTGTTCCGCGGCAACTGAGCGCCAACAAGCCTGTGCAACCACGACTCGATCTCCTCTTCATCAGCATCAGCTACCTCGTTCTCGTCTCCTTCTTCCTCTCTTCTTATATTTTTTTTCCTTTTTTATCCATTTGAGACCAAATTTTATCCTTTTTTGACGTATCACTAATATAGGTTACTCTTCGCAAAGACTGGAGAAGCTCAGATCCGCAATTGGAAGCTGGAGCATTCGTCGAGATTACAGTGATACCCAAAATCTCAGTGAAACTGCCAGCGTCTCCAAAATCGCGATCAAAATCAACCAAGTCATCCTTTTTTAGTTTTTTCGACGATTTAGGTGAGATCAATCAAACAATTCTTTCGTGCGGCCTACTTCTATCCAAATTTAACTAAAGTTCCTGATTTATTAGTTTAGGTAAAGTTTACATCAGGTAAGGTGCAGATAAGCGATAGTTGCATTCGAATTTTTGTTTTGCTTATTGGACGCAAAACGCTCTCGCCTTACATCAACTCAATCAATTTTTTTCTTGAGAGTAATCGGCTCTGCAACTCTTTAGACCAATCACAAGGCGAACTAAAGCAAAATCGATGCAATTTCGGAATACCTTTGATTCCTATTTGGACATTGCTCTGTTTTCAATACTATGGTTACCTCAACCATACGTTCTAGTCTTATAATGGGGTTTTATCATGACCATTGCAAATTCCTCAAATGTTATTGGTGCATTTGCAGCCTTATTTTTCACTAATCATTCTGTACAATTGTAATTGTATAGTGCAATCGGATAATTGGCTGTAATCGGACACCCGTAATCGGACATTTAAAGCAGCGAATCATACAAGATCCGCTCAGCTAAATCCACCAATCACAGAATTGATCGGAAATCGCAAAGCAACAGCAACTTATCCAAAAAAAAGGCTGGGAAATTTCCAAAATGGAAGAATATTTAACTAAAGACATTATCTCCTCTGGAGAGATTTGCTCTGGGTGTATTTGTTGTTTTCGGAAATTTAAATGGTTATGATTAATTGGTAACAGGACTCCTTGTCATCCAACCTGTGATTAACAAATTGGACTCCCGCTTCGCGGTCGTCCGATTTTGTTTATCAATGGTATGATTACAGACCGAATTGGACTCCATTCGGTCCTATTGTCATTATTAAAAAAGATAATTTTGTTTCAGTTGAAGCTAGTTTTGAGTATGTGGACCTTTCCATGGCGGTATTTGTGAGCGTACCACTAGAAGCTGGTCTGGCCATACGGCTTCCTACGTCTCAATGCGGTGGGAATAACCACGCTGAATTGGAAAGCTCCTACGGAATTTCCGATGTAAATCTCGGTGTCTCGGTTGGATTTCTTAAAAAGCATTTGACACTTCAACTTCCTTTGGGATATTCTCAGAGTAAACGCTATTGGTAAAAAAATTCACGTTTTATAGAAACAACTTGACTCCTGACATATAGAATAGTGACGCAAAGAAGTAACTGTCATACACTCACTTTTGTTAATGAAACTAACTACCTAAAATGAACGAGCACAAGGAGGCTGTAAATGAGAAAAAATGATATCCCATACCCTTGCAAAGATAATGAAAATGCTAATGAACAAAGTAAGATCTTCCCTAACTAATGGAGGTAAAAGAAACATATATTCTAAAGAGAAAATCACTTCCCTCGTTCTTTTCGCATAATGAAATACATAAAAACGTGTTTAGAAAATAGAAACAACAATAATGATAAAGTGAATTAAGAAAATTCTGTGTTACTTCTCAGCTTTAGGAAAGAAACCTAGACCCCTTGTTCTGCTCGTAAGTAAGAGAGCGCAAGAACGTAAATAGGTAGATACATGAGTAGATAAGAAATCGGACCTTGTAAAGATAAGTGAATGGCGGACATGACTTCCGTTTTTATTAAACTATTTAATCAATATTTTACTGTTCTTTCCTAGGGAATGTATATGTCCAGTTAAAAGTGAGAGAGTAAGTTATTATAACTATAACTTATATGAGTTATTGCCATCTTTTAAAATTGTACTTTTCAATTCTATTCCGCCTGCCTTTTTTTCCTTTGTAGTAAGCGTCCTTCGTGTAACGTTATTTTGTTAGTTTTAAATATAATTTGCATCTTCTTTGTAACAGTTATGTGCGGGACCTCCACCACCGCGACCGAGACCACCCGAGAATAGAGATCCAAAACCTGGGAATGGCAATCCAACATCTGGGAATGGAAATCCAAAACCTGGGAATGGCAATCCAACACCTGGGAATGGAAATCCAACACCTGGGAATGGAAATCCAACACCTGGGAATGGCAATCAATCACAGAAAAATAAGAATGGATATAAAGTACTTCCAAATGGGTAAGAGTGCTGATTATTCTTTCACATAACGTGTTATAGCCTGTGGGAAGCCTGAAGCTTCAAGCGTGTAAATAACTTTCCGTTCCCAAATGCTGCTGTTTGCTTGGTCTTAAAGTGATTTTTAGCCTCATAAAGAAAAAAATGTGCTGAAATGATCACGTCACTTCAAAAGAGATTGGTTGAAGCTTTGCTAGAGATATAATTAGTTGGAAGAATATTGCAGCAATAATACAACTGACCGGCCAACTGGCCGACCAACCAGTTGGCTGACAGGCTGAAGAAATGACGGATTAATTAACTGATTGATTGACTGATTGACTAGCTGGCTAACTGAATAACAGAGCCAGCAGCTGATTGACTTACTGACCGACTGACCGACTGGCCGACGGATGAATTCATGGATTCATTATTGATTTACTTTCTCGAAAACAGAAAGACCGGAAAATTTCAATGTGGAAAAGGACCTATCTGTTCTGGGGAACGAACAGGCCCTGACTGCGATCAGCCACATAGAGGGCTTCTTCGGAGTATGTAACAGTAAATGGACCTGCAAACTATGAACCTAATTGCAGTAACGTTATTATGGAAAAAGCAAAAAGAAACAAAGAAAAACCAAATTAAAATCAATTGGCACATAGCGTAAGCATATGTCATCAGCATTACAATTTGATTATTGACAATAATTACTCAGCAGGGCCCAGTTGTTTCGAGGGGCGATTAGCGCTGGCTCAGGCTATTTATTTATTTTTTTAATTTATTTTTTATTTTTCAATCCAGGTTTCTTTATTTCTTTTTTCAAAAGCCTGTAAGGAAAATTTTTCCATTCATCTTAGAACATCCAATAATCAAATTGCAAGCAAAAAGATTTGAACTAAATTTCCTTTTGAAGAATGGCTGCCTTGCGTTTTGTCAATGTTTTCGAGGAGGTGATAAGCGCGATGAAAGAAAATTAAATTGCGAAGAGCACAAAACATGCTACTGAGTTTGGCGGAAGAATTTTTAAAAGAAGGATTTAGATCTCTTTTTTTTGGAATCACTTGAAATTTCTATGACAACTACATCTCAAATTCTCAAGAAGTTGGAAGAGCTTCTAAGTTGAAATTTTGAGAAAATTGTTCGGCCGACGTGCAAACGGCTACAGGGTATTTCTGTATGCTAGCTAATTCCTGTTCGGCTTTTTTTCCTTTCCGTTTTTGCTTTTTCTTTATAATCTTATTGCAAATAGATATGTGTTAAATAAGTTTGAATTCATGAAGCTAACATTGTGTCCAATACTGCTATTACTGATATGAAGATAATCGGTGGTGGTGAAGATAATCAGGAAATCAAGAGCCGCATTTGTTGTAGCTCTATAAATCAAAGTTTAATTTGAATTTCGAACCCCGTAAGAGCGGGGAAAAACAGGAGCAAAGCAATTTTTCAAACTTTTTTCAGTTTTATAACCCTACAATAGGGGATTTCTTATTCCACCTTTATCTCATTTTCTGGCATTCAAACATTTTGTCTACAAAATACTTCCCGGCCGTTCTGAGCGTCTTACCGATCGCATAAGGTGTGCGCTAAAAACAAAAACAACACAGGCGAAACTACTAAAGCGTTTTTTCTGACCAATGCAACAAAAAAACTCTGGTACACTTACAAGTTCCTTTCTTAAAAAGTTGAGCCTAAAAGCCGAAAAAAGCAAGTTTTCGATCATTCAGCGCGGCCAGAGTAATACTCTGGCGTATTTTGCGCGTCCCTTTCCCCTAATCATGACAATGTGGCGAGGTAGTGAAATAACAAACGTATTTATGTATATTTTAGTACTCTCGAAATATATCACTGCAATGATCTTTCTTTTGGCAAAGTCATGATAATTCGCTTTACAGATTGTTCAGGTAACGGAGATCCTATCATAGCCCCAAAGTGTGAAGCGGAGTGTAACTGTTCAGGAGGATGGGAGGGAGAATTTTGTGAGCGCTTAATTGCAAATGGTGGAGGTGACCCACATCTGGAAACATTAGATGGTAAGTAGAGAAGAAAAACAGATTCTACATTCACTCATTTTCGAGCGAGAGATAAAGAGAAATTTAAAAACCCTGAAAGAGGTCCAACAATTTGTCCAAACGATAGATTTCAGACAATCCTTTGTGTTTTCGTTTATAAATGAGAGCTTTATTTCAGGGTTTGTGTAATGTTTATGACGGCAATTTTGATTTTTGCCTTCTTCGCTAGGTGTTAATTTTGACTTTTTTGGAATTGGAGAGTTCTGGGGTTGCAAGAGTGTTAAAAACGATTTTGGTCTTCAGTTCCGTTTTTATTATTACGAGCGAGCTTCGCTTATTGGTGGAATTGCACTCAAAGCTGGGAGAAGTGTTGTTACGATTATGACGATCAAGACTGAAAGAGTTCAAGACTTGCCCATTACAAGGTTTGGTTTATGCTTCTTAATCAATAAACAAAGCATTTCCATAATAGAGGCTATAGCCAGGGTGATTGGGATCTTCAAGTACTTACTTGTTCAGATACAACCTATTGCGATGTTGACTCACTAACCCTAATAAGGAGATGCAATTCACCTTGATTGAACAAGTATCATTCAAGAACTTTTTATGACTGACCCTGATTTCTCAACAGAATCGATGGAGTGGAAATGAATGCCACCAGTAATTTGTCAGAACCTATTGAAATAAGTAATGGCACAGTGTTATTGGATCATCAAAGACGTTTTTCTTTTGAGGCTGAGGAGAACAGCGTCGTTTTAATTTCACTTCAGTATGATGCAGGCAAGTCCTTAAAAGATATTTCAAGTAATTTCCTTTTTGCCCAAGTCATTCATAAGATCAGTAGGTATGAATACTAACCGGCTGGACTTTTATCCAGAAATAAACAATGCTTTTAGTTCCTCAAATTGCCCCAAATAGGAAATGGTCTTACGCGAATAAATTTCCAAGGGATGCTCTTCGTCCATCATGTTGGGCCATAATTGGAAGGTTTTCGTTAAGTATATCTGTTTGTTTTGTTTGCTTGTTTATTGGTTTATCTGGCCTTTCACTGGTGAGAGAAGGAAAACCTACGGTCCAACCCCGAGAAAAATCCTCCAAGCCAGTACAGGAACTTTATCACTTAACCCTTTAACTCTCAAGATCTCATTAGCAATTCTCCTTACTGTCTGCCAAACGATTCTCATTATGTTAGTTTAGAGAATTTGGTATCAGATCAACTAGTAATCCCATAGTTGATGTTTGCCTTTATTCTTATCACTTTTCTGCATGATATTGTATAGATATAATAAAGAGAAATTCTGTTTTGGTCACTCACGGGAGTTAAAGGGTTGAAGAGTTTGACTTTAATGAGATGTCCAAGCTGAGAAGAAATGTCAGCAAATCAATCAATAGGACGCGGGTGAACTAGCCCGAGACGTTAACGAAATGAACTGAGAAGTTAACGAAGTGGTCGAGGGCGAAACCACGCTTAGGCGAAATGGTTAGTTATTGCTAGACGGTAAGTGACTCCGGTCTCGAATGTCGAAGGTCAGAGAAGAAAGCCCTCGTTACTGTAGTATACCAGCTTCGCCACATTTCGTTACGTCTAAGATATGACTTTTTTAACTTCTCTCAGGTGTAACAGTAACCATCGACGTTCGTCATAGTCGAGTTATGAAGAGACAATATTTGAATATTCTCTATTCGCCAACTGCTGCTTACAAAGGCCACACTGAAGGACTGTGCGGCTTCATGGATAACAATGCCACTAACGATTTCATGGGAAGCGACGGAACTCTTTATGATGACGCCGTTCAATTTGCCGAATCATGTAAGCAAAGCTTATCACAAAGTTTGATCTAGATGTTACCCCAATATTTTTAGTTGAAAAATTTATTGGCATTGAAAATATTCTTAAAATACAACAAAATTTTAAGGTAAATACATATTAGTAACCTCGTCTTTTAGGTCTGTGCAGTAGGTCACAGACTAGAACGGAAAAATAAGTATCTTTAACTTACAGTACGCACTGAATAAACACGTTGTTAACAGGATATTCTTATCTCTACTTTGCGTTTGGTAGATTAGAGAAGAGTTGCTTGTCAAGAGGGACAGCTGCAGACAACTTTTGAGTGCTAGAAGCAAAATGAGTCATTTTGAAATCATTTCTTTAGTCGTTGGAAAATTTTAGCACGTACTTAAAAGAAAAAAAAAGGATTAAAGTCCAATTTTTCAAACAAAGACATCAATCTAGGCGGGCCTTGTAACTGAGCGAAGTTGTAGAATGATGCAGGTGGACACCAAAACTTTAAAGAAATTGAAGAATAAGCTGAACGAGGATGTTTTAAATAACAGCAGCTGCGTTATCCGATGTAACCTTGCTCTGGTTTTTTAACTACGATAAATGGGGTAGTCTTCGGCTGGCAAAATAAGACAATACCCTGATAATCTCTTTGTTTCCAGTATGATAAGCAATGTACATAATGACGAACTGTATCAACCTACATACCGATGAAACTGTTTCTTTCATTTAAAAGGGAGGATCACAGATTGTCACGATGGCTCAGGCACGAAGGACTCTTGGTCATGGAAGTCATCAAACTTTTATCACGATGACATAATGGACATAACGTACACAGATCCCACATACATACCTATGTATTCACTAGACGGAATTTCTCAGTCTCTACTACAGGTTAATAAACTCACGTGCATAAATCAAAGCCATAACTTAGATCTGTTATGTGATTGGTCATTTAGCAACACCATCTGAGCAATAATAGGACTATGTTGCTGCATTGCTTTTATTTGGACAGTGTGATTGGTTAGTCTATGCCTTCTGCATGTGTTATTGGACAGAACGCTTCAATTCCTCATTTTTCACTTGTATGATCACAGACCAAATTGGATTCCGCGCGGTTTATCTGCCATTATTGAAAAAGGGGAAACTCGACTGCAACAAAAAAAAAAATAAATAAATAAACCCTGCTTCTTTGAACAACCCTGTGGCATACAATCTGATCGCTGTTATGAAGAACGCACATAAAAAAGCAAAACAAAACAAAAAGCAGAAATTAGAAACAAAACTATCACGTCTGGCCACGATTTAAAAAGAATGTAGTGAGTCTCCTTTAGCTTGGTGTCCTTTTGATTACCTTAATTTGAGATGAGCATCCAGGCGCTTGTTTAAAGACTCAAGATGATTGAGATAAACTTCTTAATTTGAGATAGGATTTATTATGACTCTTTTTTGTTATTCATCTTTAACGTAGATTGCAACAAGCATGTGCCAATCTTTAAACATTTCTGATAACGATTTACAAAGCTGCATATTCGATGTCGCCATTACCAACGACACGACATTTACTGATCAGGAAACTTTTAAACGAGGTAAGCTTTATTAACGAGTTTTTGTAAAGATGATTTCCAAGTTCGTTTTTCTATAAAGAGTAAAGGACATTTGGTGTTTCAATTTATATCAAAATGTTACTCCTTACCATCCAAAAATACAAATATTAGATGAAAATTACCTCGAGGATATTGTCATTGATAAAAAGTTGTATTAAACATAACAACCTGAAAGTTTAAGAGTGCGCAATAGGAAATTTTCAAAGTAACAGTATGAAAAGGCTGGAGCGCTAACTTGCTGGCCTCAACATGCTTACGAGATCTGATTCTTTAAAGCTAATATTTCAAATGGCTTTTAATAATTCATTCAAGAAATTCGATTTCTCTGTTTAAGACTGTCCAGACCAATGCTCAGGTAAAGGGAGATGTATCAATGGAACATGTAAATGTATCGAAGGTTGGACTGGGAAGAGTTGTGACAGAGGTATTGGTTATTTTCAGTTTGAATCCTAACAACAGGTGTTAGATAGACAAAGCGGACGCCTGGATCTCTCTGCTAGAATTCTTTAGTAAATTTTATTTCACTGTATTCCGTATAAGACATACTATCATACCCAATATAAAGGCTCGCTTAACTTTGTTGTGCGTGTGTGTTTTCTGCTTCGTTTTTGTGTTGTTGAGACTTTTTCTGTTTTCGGAGCTTCTCAGCTAGTTCAATTTTCATTCTGAATTTTAACATAGCACAATTGGGTTTTTCAATGTTGCCATCTGGCGTCTTCACAAAAAAAACCGTACCTCTTCGACCCTAACGTTGTCATCGTAATTTTCTTTTCCTCAGGCTCTTGTCTGAACTGTTCAACCATCCATGGCGAGTGTGTTAAAGGATTTTGTGTCTGTGACCTGGGCTGGGAAGGACGAAGCTGTGAACTGGAAGGTTATGCCGTTCATGGTCATCTTCCAAATAAAATAGAGTATATTTATTTTGTTCGAAGATCTCCTTATATTGACACCAGGAAACTCTTTTAAGCTGCTAAATGGATGTTCTCAAAGACATTATGAATGAGCTTGTTTGAGATTGTTTGAGCAGGCTGGATTTTCTCTTTTCCTCAGGAAAAGTTGATCTAATTTTGCAACTGGCATCGAGTTTGAAACGATTGAAAAAGAAAGAAGGGCGCTTGCTTCTAGAGGTTGAGAACTGATTTCATTTGCCGAAAGTAGTGCCCTTTGTGATGATTTTTCAACGACGCGCCTTTATATCACACCAAAATACTAACGTTTATAAATTATTGTGATCTACAGCCACTTGCTTTGGAGTTAACAACTGTACTAGCCCTGAACACGGCAGTTGTAAAACGACAGATGTTTGCCAGTGTAATCCCGGCTATATAGGTCAGTTACATGGATCTTCTTGTGGCTGTTTGTTGTTGATGTTATTATAAACGCAAGCTAAATTACTTAAAAAAAAAAAAAAGATCAATGGTAACCAGTGATATTGTAAGTTCTCGGTCAGCGGAGATCAACGAATGAGAAGGCGTGAAAAATCGGTGGGGGTCTGCGGAGGAGTGTTTCATTTCAGTTGCTGTAATCGTGAAAACCAAAAAGACTGAAGATGAATCGGTGGCAGCTTGCACCTTGGCCCGTGGTTGGTGGAGAGCGAAGGCGAACTATTAGTCACAGTGGACGAGCGGAGGGGATAATTAGGGCGTAATTTATTTAAGAGATTATAGTGTAGCAAGTTAAAAAGTAGACCGGTGATGGCTTTTTATTATAATCAGCCATACCAAGAAAAGATGAGATTGATCAATTATTCAATCCATGCACTTTTGCTTTTAATTGTTCTCAGCAGAAATCTTAATCTAAAGTTCGTACTCTACATAGCTGCCTTGTGCTTATAAAAATAATATCAGCCCGTTATATCGCCCGAAACAATTCTTGTTCTTAAAACAGGTGCATTTCTCGTATTTCCAGGTACTGACTGCAGTATTGTTCCTACTTGTTACGATGTATCAAACTGTTCTGGCAATGGAATCTGTGTGGATTTCGATGTATGCAAATGTAATACGGGATGGACTGGAAGCAATTGTGCTCAATACTCTTGCGAACGATTGAATTATTGTTCTGGTGAGTTATCTCGGGATATCATATTCATAGTCTACGAAGAGACGTATTCCCGACTTTCCTTCCTTCCCTCATTGCTTCTTTTTGTTTGTCCTTTATAACATTCTCCTGGTCCTATGTTAGTATTAATGTTTTCGTGTCCTTTCTCTCCCCCTTGCTGTTGATAAGAACACGGTAGCTGCGTGGCATTTGACAAATGCACCTGTGATTATGGCTGGACCGGAGTAAGCTGCGCCCTTCCTGACTGTGAAGCTGTCAATCAATGTTCAAATAAAGGAGAGTGCATTTCCAGCGACAAATGTCGCTGCCTTCCGGGGTTTATTGGAGCGGATTGCGGTCAGATGGCGGACTGTAGTCATCTTGCAAACTGCAGTGGCCAAGGCGTTTGCGTTTCCACCCAGATGCTGAATGTGTCTTGCAGTTGCTATCTAGGTTTTACTGGAGAGAACTGCAGTCAGCCATCTTGCACAACCGTGAATAATTGTTCTGCCCATGGTGCGTGCGTGGAAGCCGAGTTCTGTAAATGTGACTTTGGATACATTGGAACTGACTGCAGTAACTTTTCTTGTGAGGCTGTCAACTATTGCTCCGGCAAGTGCATTGGTTTAAAATTGTTTTGTGAATAATCTTTTCCTAAGTCGCAACTCTTGTGGACACATCATACTAGCGAGGAGAACATTATTATTGTTAACAAAAAATGACATATCATTTCCCTTCCAGTGTCTGAGAAAAATGGTTACAGAGAGTTTCAATGTCTTTGAGTGGTCGAAATTGTGGGGTACTTTCATGTAGAGGTGTTTTACTCACAACGATCCGAGCTCACAATCCTGTCTCTATGATAAAGATCTTGACGTTCTCCCCGACAACTTTCATTCCCGAATTATTTGTAGCTGTAGCTTCTATAACAAAGCGATACGGTAAGACAAGGCTAACAAACGATGTTCTTTTTTTTCTCGCTGCAGGAAATGGAAAATGTGTTGGTTACGACCTCTGCCTTTGCAATTCCTCCTGGTCGGGTCGCGCATGCAGTGTTCCTGATTGCAGTGCTGTAAAAAATTGTTCTGGCCAAGGAGATTGTATACTAGCCAACGTTTGTTCTTGTTATCCAGCTTTTGATGGCGAATACTGCGACCAGAAGGCAAAACCAAACATCAATCCTCCAAGATTTAACAAAACATTTTATAACGCGGCCATTATGGAAAATTCTCCTGTAGGAACAGTGATTTTACAAGTAAAAGCCAACGATACAGATTTAGGAAGAAACGGTCAGATATTTTATGCCATACTTGGTGATGATAACGTAGAAAGTATTCTTACCGTTGGTGGACAATCTGGAAAAGTTTACAACGTAAAGACGCTGGATTTTGAGACAATCGAGATGAAATCATTCAACGTGACCATGGTTGCTGCAGATAATGGATATCCACAGAAATCTGGAATCGCCACCGTACAGATAACAATAGTGGATGAAAATGACAATTGTCCAACCTTCATCGAGCCACCAGGAGATCTAAAACTAGAATTCCTTACACTCAATTCCGGAGATACCGTAACCAAAGTTTCTGCAATTGACTTGGATAGTGGAGTAAACAGCGACATAACTTATAGCCTATCCAAAAATGAAGCGTTCTCTATTGATAACAAAACTGGTGTGGTTACTGTGGTGTCCGACTTGACAGAGAAAGTTCATCGTCTCATTGTTAGTGCAAGTGACAACGGGGACGTTTCTTGCATAACAGACATCAGTTTGACTGTTGAAATCGGCGTCTCCCCAACAACAAAGCCCCGCACTACACCTACCACTCCCTTCACGAACAGGAAACCTGAAACCTCCAGTACATCTACCATTCCTGAGACTACGGCGTTCACAGGTCAGTTTGTTTCCATTTGTAGATGACAAGAACATTATCAAAGCGCTTTTATTGGCTGAATAGTTAAATAACAACCTCAAACCAAAGAAAATAATTGATCAAAGTGGTTACAAGGGTGATGAACTAATATGGAGCAAAGATGAACAAACGACAATATTCATTCAATTAAAAATGAAAAACTTGAAAAATTTACTTTAAACTTTTCGTAATGCATGAACCACGATTTAATCTCTTTAACAATTAGAAATAACTATTTTACATTTCAAGATGCACAAAACACGATTTGACCTCATTAACAAACAGAATTAACTATTTTACATTTATCACTGAAATTAAAGATGGGGTCCACTCGCTTACCGATTCGATTTTGCAATTGAATTAGTACTGGAGAAACCTTCAAAAGATCATAGAGAGATTGAAAAGAGTTAACGTAAACGTTATGTACATTTAAAGTGCAAACAAGTTACCAATTGTTATAACAAATTCAGAAAGTTTTTAACTACTTTAACATCATTTGTATTAAAAAAACGTAGTAACAACTCATTAATGAATAAAATAAACCGTGGTATGGAAACCCGCACCTCGCATGCTTGACGTAAACAGATCCGAATCCTTCATCAAGCGGATAAGTAAAAAGAATGAAGTAGCCGGAATTCATTTCATGTCGTTTGAGTCCAAATTTGAAAAATATTCTTTATTCTTTCTTTTTGGACGAAGAAGCGACCACTTCGCATGTACCAACAGAGGCAGGCGCGGATCCCCAGGAAGGTCCAAATTATGTAATAATTGGTGGGTCTGCAGCTGGAGGAGTGCTGCTTCTTTTGATTGCAGTAGTGGTGATCAGAAAATGTCTTTGCAGAGACGGCACATCTTCAGAAACTACGGGGAGATGGAATGCTGGTATGGATTTTGAGATGTCTTGGAGGAAGTGAGAACATGTTATATCTGATGACAGATTTCAAAATGAAAGTTTGCATTAGAGAGAAAAAAACCTGAGACAACTTCTTGGGTTACCTGTGGTCTCAGTCCTTTACTCGTATACACAGTAGTAAAGAGAAGCTTTTTTTATACAAGCTCACTTACGGAGTTGATAGAATTAGTATCAATATCAGTCAGTGACAAACAAAACATAAGCGTTGCAACGTTAGTGGTATCAAGAGATTACAACTCTCACTTAAACCTAGTATATCGCTGTTATATAGTGATTATCAGTAGTAACGGAAGTAGCAGTGGTAATACCGGTAACAGTAGAAGTGATATGACTTTCATATATTCTTAACCGCCAGTAGAAGTGATTGTAGCGATGTAAGAAGCAGTATGCTGTAGGAGTGGTGTTAACAGGGGCAGTAGCAGAAGGCCATCAACTAACCTAACTATATATCTATATCTCAGTTAGAGATGGTTACTGGTGACATATCTCTAGTTTTTCATATATCATAGGTGAATAATTTTAGGAACGAAGAGTAGACATATTAAGTTTAATTTTTTATCTGATTTTGAATGTGAGATAAGTTTGAATAAAAGCATGGATGGTTGCTAATTTCGTTGTACAGTAGTCGTTCAAAGTAAAACAAAGTACAGGCAACTTACTTCCAGGGGTCTCCTGCCTTCCCATTAAGGGGTAAAGGCCTGTGTGTAAAGATGACTGTTGGGTGTCTGTTGGAGCTCAAGGGCGTAGCAAGGGCGTAGCAAGGGTGTCCTGGGTAGCCGGTGACTCCCTCCTTGCACTCCCTAGTCCCTACACTGCTAGCGCTGAAAATCTTACCCACTGATATCATCGCAAGGTTTAGCACAAGAGATACGAAGAGAACAATAGAACTAACACAATATTAAAGTACATCAGATCATAGTTTAATTCATTCACGTTTCACCTTAATTCTTAATATAAAGACCCCAAAAAACAGGGTATAATTGGCAACTAGACATAAAAGTTACAACATTGTCATTATGACAGAAAACCTCACGATCATAAGATATCTTTTCACATAATCATATCATAATTGGTCTAAGGTGTACTTAAGCTTGTCTGTTTGAAAAATGTTCTAATATTTTTTATGACAAAACCATGCAATGTGCATATTGTTTATGATATCTACATCATAACTTAGGTTGATTAAAAGGAGGAATCTAGGGAAACTCTGCATGTGTTTGACGGGGACGATGTTCTCAAAACTTGCAAAGCGATCCACGCGCATGCTTGTCTTTAGTATCTTCAAGCAGCTAGCGCACATCCTATTCATTTGTCGCGCCAAATATGGCTACAGACCACACGACCCTTCTCAGATAACTCAAAACAGCGTATATCGAACTTTTTATTGCAAAATAATTAACCATTGCGTGACGATTACACACCAGTTATACGTTTTCACAAAAAAACACAGTTAACTTGACAAAACACGTGACAAAAGCACGCGACCCTTCTCAGATAACTTAAAAAAGCACGTGTAGAACTTTTTATTGCAAAATAATTAACTACTGCGTGACGTTTACACACTAGATATATATCTTCCGTAAAAAAAATCACAGTCAATTGGCGAAATACGGGACAACAGCACGCACACATGATGCATACTTCCAGTTTCACAGGCATGATGGGTTAACTGTCCCATTACACTGTCTAATTACAAACGTAGCACGCACACTGTCCCATTACTGCTCAAATCGGGCTGGTGATAACCAATCGCGTTCAAGAACTTTGTTATAGTTTTGATTAACAATTGTAATTGAACTGAGACGTCGAAGTACAACTACAGTTATTACAGTTGGAGCTGAAATCATACCTATAAAAGGGTTAAATCTTTGACTCTAGAGATCTGATTCCTAATTCTCCTCTAGAATTTGGTGTTAGATCAAGATAACAACTTCCACCTGATAAGTTTGAGTATTCTCATACTTGTTTCTATCTCTAAATTTAATCTTGGAGATTATTTTGGTAAAATATGCCATTTAAAAAACTACAAACTACATTCTTTGATTTCTACCTTCTTTCCTCACAATTATTGACTTAAATGGTATGGAAGTCTGCTTGATTCATTCGAAGCTTAAAGAGTGGTCGTCCATCAACAACTATTGTACTCACTCGTGGTTATCAGTTTGGAAACCATTTCTTAGATGTTGATCATTCCTAGGAGTTAAAGGGTTTAAGATATGCCTAAGATAGCATTTACAACTACCAATTTGGCAACATATCTGCAAAGTTTAAAATCAGACTTTCAAAATATCGAAAAATTTTTTTTCCATATTACCTGAAATTTTGTTGATTTCAGATCTAGATGCATCGTTGTACTATAAACAAGATTCTTTTAAGATTCTTTTGTACAACATACCAGAAAAATGGCACAGATAGACCAAACGTAGCCTTGTGACCCACAAACAAATTGGCAGTGAGATATGAAGTGAATGCTTTTACATTTCCACGCTGAAAAAAGATCACCATTAACATTGTGAAAAGTTTCACAACCTCTGCGAGAAGGACTGCCATCGAAGTAAAGTACAGTTTGTTTGATCATGTCCTGGAGTAGCGAAGCAGAGAGAAGTAGCAAGTAGCTTGGATTGTTAAGATGACAAAGATGAGGACCAGAAACAGCGTGGATGAAGTAAATGACACAGTATCTAAAACACAAACATAACTAAACAGTTTTATTCACTCAAGCGCAATTCATGAAACTGGAAATACTTGCACTCAAGGAATACTGTATATGGTGCTCCAAAAAATTTTAACTCTTTCACTTCTAGAACTTATCTACATGTAATTTCTCCTCACAATTCCAATATGTTCATTATAGCAGGTTATAAAAACATACGATAAGCCTGTTGGTGAGTAGGTGTTATCTTGATATAAGACCAAAATCCCATCTTGTTCATAAGGAAATGTGGTAGCAATAGAGGGGAGAAGTACTCAAAGGATCATGGGAGTTAAAGGGTTCACCCTTCAAATCCCAAGTTCCGCTGACTTTTTACTCTCCCCTCCGGCAGCTATATATTTCCGTGTAAACTGGTAACGAGAATTTGGTGTTAGATCAAACTAACAAATTCTTCCAGAAAAGTTTGAGGATTGTCATTACCTGTTTACTGGATAATTTATGGATATTATAGGGAGAAGTTACATGTTAATCACTTCTGGGAGTTCAAGGGTTCAAGCCAATCAGCTGAGAGAAAACTAAGCAGTCTACAACAATGGTGATCAATTTCCGGGTTTGAGATTTTTCTTTTGTGTTCTGACTTAAATGTGATTGGTTACAACGTGACTTACATGTAGCTGTCAGAAACAGATCAATTAATAATATTTGAAGGTTTTCTGAGTCTCACATTGAAAGCTACTCATAATATATTACAATTACTTGGTTTTATTGGCTTACAAGAATCTACATCTAAGCTAGTTGAACTTAAATAATATGGACAGTTTTAAAAAAATCAATTAGAGCTTTTTATAATCATTATTTGCTCTTTTTGAGTCCTCTTAATTTCTTCTTTTTTTTTGTCATTCATGACCATCTTTAGTAGTTTCTACATTTTTTATTTGTGCAAGCTGGATATGAGACAAGTTACACAACTTAAATCCATTGCTTGCACACGGAATAATTTTCATAATTGCTTACATTTCGTTTAGGTTTAAATGCAATCATGAATTGTAATCGTGGGTGAAAACAGGAAGTCCCCACTCAACCCTTGCTGGTGACCGCACACAAAGGTAACCAAAATGATCTGATTTCTTTTTTCGACGGATTTTGGTTTGACAAAAAAGCTATGTTAGTATTGAAATAGCTACAAGTGTTCACAGTTTGTAAAACAGGAAAAATCAGGCCTAAAGTTTTCAAGTTCATCAAATACAAAACCATCCGTGGTTTTATGAAAGTCTCCATAAAATCTCTAATAAATTTTAAGCCACAGGACTGACCATTTGGAACTCGTCAAGATGGAAGGTCGACTCAAAAAGTTAACATAAATCTTAAAAAAATCCCTTTAACGCACACCCCAAACCCAAACTAATGTCACAGAAATTTGACATAGTATTTCCCGAATACAAAATGTTTTTTATAATCCAATCGTTACCGTGACAGACCACAAACGCATGCGTAATTGAGCGGAGTAAGTAAAGGAGACTATGCTGTTTATGTCTGGAGGTTCGAGTTTTATTTTAGAAAGAACGAACCTTGGAAAGATTTCCGTATCACCTCATACTATTCTTGCTAAAAAGCCGTAGTCCCTGTTAGCTCCCATCTTGGATTGTATTTACCACTGTTTTCTTTATCTAAGAAGTGTATGCATAAAGACAGATAGGGAGGTAGAAGGTTGTGCAGAAATCTCGCCAGATCGAACCTTCTAAATTCTTATCGCCTATGAAAGCTTTTGATATAGCTATATATGAAACCGCTTCTCACACTGCACAACAAAATTAACAACCATTCATGCTTTTATTCAAACTTATATTCTCTCACACTTAAAATCAGATAGAAAATTAAACTTGAAGCGTCTATTCTTGGTTCCTATAAATTATTTTTTTACTCACTAATACGCCGTTTTCTATCCTTTTTTACGTATATATATACGGGAAACTAGATATATGTAGCCAGTTATCATTTGTAACTGCGATATAGAGGTATAGTTAGGTTAGTTGATGACCTTCTGCTACTGTTACTGCTACTGCCTTGTTAACACCACTCCTACAGCATACTGCTTCTTCCATTGCTACAAACACGTCTTCTGTTACCGCTATTACCACTGATACTTCCAATACTACTGATAATCTTTACAAACAGCGATATACTGGGTTTAAGTGAGAGTTGTAATCTCTTAATGACACTGACATTGCAATGGTTTTGTTCTGTTTGTTACTGACTGATATTGATACTAATACCATCAACTCCGTAAGCGAGCTTGTAAAAAAACTTCTCTGTACTACTGAGTATACGAGTTAAGGACTGCGACCACACATAACCCGCGAAGTTATCTCAGGTTTTTTCTCTCTAAGGCAAACTTTCATTTTGAAATCTGTTATTAGATAAAACATGTTCTCACGTCAGCCTAGACATGTCAAAATCCATTCCAGCATTCATTCTCCCCGTAGTGTGTCTTGCTGAAGATATCTTGGCTTTGCAAAGACATTTTCTGATTACCAGTACTGCAATCAAAAGGAGCAGTACTCCTCCAGCTGCGGACCCACCAATTATTGCATAATTTGGACCTTCCTGAGGAACCGCGCCTGTCTCCGTTGGTACGTGCGAAGTAGTCGCTCCTTTGTTAAAAAAGAGAGAATGAAAAAAAATATTTCAAACTTGAACTCGAACGAAAAAGAAATGAACGAATTCCCGCTAATTTCTATTTTTACTTATCCGTTTGATGAAGGATTCGGATGTTTACGTCAAGCATGCAACATGCGGGTTTCCATACCACGGTATAGAAATGTTGTTAAAATAGTTGAACACTTTCTGAATTTGTTATAACAATTAGTAACTTTTTTGCACTTTAAATGTACATAACGTTTACGTTAATTCTTTACAATCTCTCCATGACATTTCAAAGCAGTTTCTCCAGCACTGATTCAATTGCAGAATCAAATCGGCAAGCGAGTTGACCCCATCTCTAATTTCAGTGATAAATGTGACATAGTTAATTTTACTTGTTAAAGAGGTCAAATCATGGTTTGTGCATCTTAAACAAATTTAACGTAAATATTTCAAGGTTTTCATTTTGAATTGGGTGAACCTTGTCCTATGTTCATCTTGTTCATCTCCGCTCCATATTCGTTCATCTCCCTTGTAAGTATTTTGTTCACTAATTTCTCTCGCTTTAGGTTGTAATTTAACTATTTATCCAATAAATGCGCTTTGTTGATGTTCTCGCCATTTACAAATGGAAACAAACTTACCTGTGAACGCCGTAGTCTCAGGAAAAGTAGACGTGGTAGAGGTTTCATATTTCTTGTTCGTGAAGGGAGTGGTAGGTGTAGTGCGGGGCTTTGTTGTTGGAAAGACGCCGATTTCAACTGTTAAACTGATGTCTGTTATGCAAGAAACGTCACCGTTGTCACTTGCACTAACAGTGAGACGATGAACTTTCTCTGTCAAGTCGGACACCACAGTAACCACACCAGTTTTGTTATCAATAGAGAACGCGTCATTTTTGGATAGGCTATAAGTTATGTCGCTGTTTACTCCACTATCCAAGTCAATTGCAGAAACTTTGGTTACGGTTTCTCCGGGAATGAGTGCAAGGAATTCTAGTTTTAGATCTCCAGGTGGCTCGATGAAGGTTGGACAATTGTCATTTTCATCCACTATTGTTATCTGTACGGTAGCCATTCCAGATTTCTGTGGATATCCATTATCTGCAGCAACCATGGTCACATTGAATGATTTCATCTCGATTGTCTCAAAATCCAGCGTCTTTGCGTTGTAAACTTTTCCAGATTGTCCACCAACGGTAAGAATACTTTCTACGTTATCATCACCAAGTATGGCATAAAATATCTGACCGTTTCTTCCTGAATCTGTATCGTTGGCTTTTACTTGTAAAATCACTGTTCCTACAGGAGAATTTTCCATAATGGCCGCGTTATAAAATGTTTGGTTAAATCTTGGAGGATTGATGTTTGGTTTTGCCTTCTGGTCACAGTATTCGCCATCAAAAGCTGGATAACAAGAACAAACGTTGGGTAGTATACAATCTCCTTGGCCAGAACAATTTTTTACAGCACTGCAATCAGGAATACTGCATGCGCGACCCGACCAGGAGGAACTGCAAAGGCAGAGGTCGTAGCCGACACATTTTCCATTTCCTACAGGGAAAAAAATGAACATCGTTTGTCAGCCTTGTCTTACAGTATTGATTTGTTTTAGAAGCTACAGCTACATAATAAGCAGGAAAGTTGTTAGTATTGAAGGTTGTCGGAGAGAACGTCAAGTTCATTATCATAAAGACAGAATTGTGTGTTCGGGTCGCTGCGAGGAAAGCACCTCTATATGAAAGTGCCCAACAATTTCGACCACTCAAAGACATTGAAACTCTCTGTAACCATTTTTCTCGGAACGTGGAAGGCAAATGATATGTCATTTTTGCTAACAAAAAGGATGTTCTCCTCGCTAGTATGATGTGTCCATAGCAAAAATTTTAAAACGACGCACTTACCGGAGCAATAGTTGACAGCCTCACAAGAAAAGTTACTGCAGTCAGTTCCAATGTATCCAAAGTCACATTTGCAGAACTCGGCTTCTACGCACGCACCATGAGCAGAACAATTATTCACGGTTGTACAAGTGGGCTGACTGCAGTTATCGCCTGTAAAACCAAGGTAGCAACTGCACGACACATTCAGCATCTCGGTAGAAACGCAAACACCTTGGCCACTGCAGTTTGCAAGGTGACTACAGTCCGCCATCTGACCACAATCTGCTCCAATAAATCCCGGAAAGCAGCGACACTTGTCGCTGGAAATGCACCCTCCTTTTCTGGAACATTGATTGACAGCTTCACAGTCAGGAAGGGCGCAGCTTACTCCAGTCCAGCCATAATCACAGGCGCATTTGTCAAATGCCACGCAGCTACCATGTTCTTATCAACAGCAAGCGGGAGAGAAAGGACAAGAAAACATTAATACTAACGTCGGACCAGGAGAACGTTTTAAAGGACAAACAAATTAAAAAGAAGCAATGTGGGATGGAAGGAAAGTCGGAAATGACATCTTTTCGTAGACTATGAATACGATATCCCAAGATAACTCACCAGAACAATAATCCAATCGTTCGCAAGAGTATTGAGCACAACTGCTTCCAGTCCATCCCGTATTACATTTGCATACATCGAAATCCACACAGATTCCATTGCCAGAACAGTTTAATACATCGTAACAAGTAGGAACAATACTGCAGTTAGCACCTGGAAATACGAGAAATGTACTTGTTTTAAGAACAAGTAATAGAGTTGTTTAGCAAGAGGACGGGAACGTCATTTCAAAACGGGAAAGCGCGCGGATAATCTGGACATGATTCTATTTCGACTTCCGGTGTTAGCGTTGTCGTTCTCTCCATCAAGTTCAGGACGTCATTTCGCTGGTTTTCCCGTCGTGATCAAAACGCCTAGGATTTTCGTTAATTGTGCACTTATAAACGAGATAATGCTGTTTGGAATGATTTCAGAACTCATTTCCAGGATAACCAGGTTCCTTTCTTTGTTTTATTCGGTGAATTTGGGAAAATTTACCGCTACATTTATTCTGGATTCCCGAAAGGAAACACGATCGTCAGCAAGCTATCTAAGATTTTAGGGCTCAGTTACCTTTTTGTAATTGAGCGTGGCTTTAAGCAACGTAAGGGCTTTTCTTTGATACATTTCTTAAACCATGTATGAAAACTCTTAGAACGGGTGCTGTTAATTTTATCGTGAACTAATTCATCAATAAATTAAACTTGCTTCATGTTGAAGTTTATCAAAATGAAACAACACTAAGGTTACCTGCTATATTATTCAGTGTTATTTGTTGTCATTGTCGTTTTAACCGTGATTGAAAAGTGTTCTGCGAATTGAAGTCAGAGATAAAAAAAAAAATTGAGAACAGCTCGGGTTTGCACTTTTTTATGTCTTTAGTTTTGATCAACGCCGGCGAAAACTTAGTCAAGAAAGTCATCTACGAAAGAAAATAACAATCAACGTGATTTCGGCACGGCTCTCTAAATCTTTTAATTTGATTCAGTCTTAAACGAATTTATTCGTTAAAAAAATGGAATTAAACAAAAACAAAATAAGACCGGAACGAAGTCTGATTCCTCAGTCTAACCGTTTCGTTTGTGACTAGTTTGAGTGCATTTCATTCATTCATGGTTAAACGGGAACTCATTATAAACAACTCCATCGTTGGGTCACTTGATCTCTACATGTTTTCGCCATAACTCCTGATAACTCCGTTCAAAATGCATTGCAACTCTAAGAAGGTGGTGCTTAAAAGAGGTGTACTGTCATAATTGAGAAGAATATTCAATAAACAAGGGAAAAACGGCGACGATTTTAATTCCAAATTATACTTTACAAAATTATAAAGAAAAACGAGTAGTGCTAAAATCTAGAAGCACGAAACGAAATGACAACGATACAAATCATAGAAAAAAAAATATTTAGTGGGCTTCAAAATTTGATAGATGAATCTGCAGACTCGAGACTTAACTGGAATGAAATAATTTCAAAGTTTAATCACCCATGTGGATTCATATTAACAACTCACTTGTAGTAAACTATCCTCGGTTTGAGCTTGTTACATTCTCAAAGAGGATAATTTCGTTGTCCTTCAAATGGTCTAATGAAACCGAAAATTTAAAGCTGATAATGATCCTAAAGAGCCAAGGTTAGGATATTCAAGAACAAATGTAACGTGGACGGTTCGTTGAAACGACTGCTAAGTCACTTTTCAACACAACGCGACGGCTTTCTCGACCCAGTTTTTTCTCGGCATTTTTGCTGCGCGCGCCGTTCTGAAATGACGTTCCCGTCCTCTTGCTAAACCACTCTAATATTTCGAGCGATATAACGGGCTGATGTTATTTTTATAAGCACAAGGCAGCTGTGTAAAGTCGGAACTTCAGATTAAGATTTCTGCTGGGAACAATTAAAAGCAAAAGTGCGTGGATTCAATAAATTGATTAATCTCATATTTTCTTGGTCTGGCTGATTATAAGAAAAAAAAGCCATAACCGGTCTACTTTTTAACTTGCTATACTATAGTCTCTAAAATAAATTTCGCCTTAATTATTCACTCCGCTCGTCCATTGTGACTAATTGTTCGCCTTCGCTCTCCACCAACCACGAGCCAACTATGGTGAAAGCTGCCGCTGATCTATCTACAGTCTTTTTGGTTATCACGATTAAAACAACTAAAATGAAACACTCCTCCCTGACCCCCACCGGTTTTTCACGCCTTCTCTTTCGTTCATCTCCGCTATTCGAGAACTTGCAATAGAACTGGTTACCATTGATCCCTCTTTTTTTTTTAAAGTAATCTAGCATGCGTTTATTATAACATCAACAACAAAGAGCAACGAAACAATAAATGGAACTGACCTATGTAGCCAGGTTTACACTGGCAAAAATCTGTCGTTTTACACCTGCCGTGTTCAGGGCTAGTACAGTTGTTAACTCCAAAGCAAGTGGCTGTAGACCACAATAATTTAAAAACGTTAGTATTTGGCGCGATATTACGGCTTGTCGTTGGAAAATCATCACAGAGGGCACTAAATTCGGCAAATGAAACCAGCGCTCGACCTCTAAAAACAAGCGAAACGACTGCTGTTGCCCTTCATTCCTTTTCAATCGTTTCAAACTCGATGCTATTTGAAAATTAAATCAAATTAAATCAAATTTTACTGAGGAAAAGAGAAAATTTAACCTGCTCTAACAGCCCAATAGAATGCTACCTTAACTCATTTATACAGCCTTTGAAAACGTCCATTTAGCAGCTTAAAAGAGTTCCCTGATGTCAATATTGGGACTCAATGAATATATACTATTTCAGTCAGGAGATGAACGGCATAACCTTCCATTTCACAGCTTCGTCCTTCCCAGCCCAGGTCACAGACACAAAATCCCTTAACACATTTGCCATGAATGGTTGAACAGTTTAGACAAGAGCCTGAGGGAAAGAAAATTACGATGACAACGTTAGGGTCGAGGAGGTACGGTTTTTGCGTGAAGATGCCAGATGGCAACACTGAAAACCCCAATTGTGCTTTGTTACAATTCAGAGTGAAAGTTGAAATTGTTGAGAAGCTCCCAAAATAGATTTTAAAAAAAACTTAACAATACACAAACGAAGTAGAAAACACACACACACACAAAACAAAATTAAGCGAGCCTTTATGCTGGGTATAATTGTTTGTCCAACACAGAATACAGAGAAATAAAATTTACTAGAGAATTCTAGCAGAGATATCTATCCGTCCTCCTTATCTATCTAACACCTGATGATGAGATTCAAGCTGATAATAACCAATACCTTTATCACAACTCTTCCCTGTCCAACCTTCGATACATTTACATGTTCCATTGATACATCTCCCTTTACCTGAGCATTGGTCTGGACAGTCTTAAACAGAGAGATCGAATTTTGCGGATGGATTAATAAAAACATTTGAAATATTAACCACAAAGAATGAGATCTCGTGAACATGGTGAAGCCAGTAAGTTAAAGCCCCAGCCCTTTAATACTGTTACGTTGAACATTTCCTATTGCGCACTCTTAAACTTTCAGATTGTTATGTTTAATGCAACTTTTTATCAATGATAATATCCTAGAGGCAATTTTTATCTAATATTTGCATTTTGAATGATAAGGGGTAACATTTTAATATAAATTGAAACACCAAATGTCCTTTATTTTTAACAGAAAAACGAACTTGGTTCTTAAACTAATGAAATAATCCTTACAAACACTCGTTAAGAAAGCTTACCTCGTTTAAAAGTTTCCTGATCAGTAAATGTCGTGTCATTGGTTGTGGCGACATCGAATATGCAGCTTTGTAAATAATCACCAGAAATGTTCAAGGATTTGCACATGCTTGTTGCAATCTAAGTTGAAGTTAAATTGTTTGTTAACGTACATGAGTGAAAACAAACCCTATCTCAAATTAACAAGTTTATCACAATCACCCTTGGTGTTAATACAAGCGCCTGGAGGCTTAGTTCAAATTAGGGCAAGAAAAAGGGCACTTAGCTAAAGAGACTCATTATATTATTTTTAAATCGTGGCCAGATGTGATAGTTTTGTTTTTGATTTTTGGTTTTTTGTTTTGTTTTTTTTTATGTGCTTTCTTCACAACAGCGATGGTTAAAAAAGTGGGTTTAATTTTCATAATTTTGTTGCAGTCGATTTTCCCCTTTTTCAGTAATGGCAGAAGAACCGCGTAGAATCCAATTTGGTCTGTGATCAAACGAGTGAAAATGAAGAACTGAAGCGTTCTGTCCAATCACACCTGAATAAGGCATAGACCAATAACACTGTCCAAATAAAAGCAATGCAGCAACATAGTACTATTATTGCTCAAATGATGTTGTTAAATGACCAATCACATAATAGATCAAAGGCTTTGATTTATGGACATGAGTTTATTAACCTGTAGTAGAGACTGAGAAATTCCGTCCAGTGAATACATAGGTATGTATGTGGGATCTGTGTACGTTATGTCCATTATGTCATCGTGATAAAAATTTGATGAGTTCCATGACCAAGAGTCCTTCGTGCCTGAGCCATCGTGACAATCTGTGATCCTCCCTTTTAAATGAAAGAAACAGTTTCATCGGTATATAGGTTGATACAGTTCGACAATATGTACATTGCTTATCATGCTGGAAACAAAGTGTTTTTCAGCTTATTGTCTCCATTTTTCCAGTCAAAGACTACCCCATTTATCGTATTTAAAAAAACCGGAGAACGGTTACATCGTATAACGCAGCTACTGTTACTTAAAAAATCCTTGTCTGACTTATCTTTAAATCTCTTGAAAGTTTTGGTGTCCATCTGCATCATTCTACAACTTCGCTCAGTTACTAGGCCCGCCTAGATTGTTTATTTCAATGTCTGCACACTGCTATTGATTCTGTTGTTCAAATCTCCCTTTCTTTGTCGACAACTTGTCTTAACTTTGATTGGAAAATTGGGTTTAAATTTAAGAATTTTCCAACGACTTAAGAAACAATTTCAAAATGACTTGTTTTGCTTTTAGTTGTCTGCAGCTGTTCCTCTTGACAAGCAACTCTTCTCTAGCCTGCTAACAACGTGTTTATTCAGTGCGTACTGTAAGTTAAAGATACTTATTTTTCCCCTCCAGTCTGTGACCTACTGCACAGACCTAAAAGACGAGGTTACTAATGTGTATTTACCGCAATATTTTGTTGTATTTTAAGGATATTTTCATGACCAATAAATGTTTTAATTAAAAATATTGGGGTAACATCTAGATCAAACTATGTGATAAGCTTTGCTTACATGATTCGGCAAATTGAATGGCGTCATCGCAAAGATTTCCGTCGGTTCCCATGAAATCGTTAGTGGCATTGTTATCCATGAAGCCACACAGTCCTTCAGTGTGACCTTTGTAAGCAGCAGTTGGCGAATAGAGAATATTCAAATATTGTCTCTTCATAACTCGACTATGACGGACGTCGATGGTTACTGTCACACCTGAGAGAAGGAAAAGGTTAGACTTTAGATGCCACAAAATTAAGCAAGGCTAGAATACCACGGTAACGAGAGCTTTCTTCTGGGACCTTCGACTTTCGAGACCGGTGTCACATACCGTCGAGCAATAACCGACCATTTCGCTTAGGTGTCGTTTCGCGGTCGACCATTTCGTCACCTTCTCAATTCGTTTCGTTAACGTCTCGGGCTAGTTCACCCGAGTCATACTGATTGATTTGCTGACTTTTCTTCTCAGTTGTATATCTCATAAAGGTCAAACCCTTAAGCAATTTAACTCCCGTGAGTGACCAAGACAAAACTTCTCCGTACTATATCTATACAATATCATGCAGATGAGTGATGAGAATAGAGAAAAATATCAACTATGGGATTACTAATTGATCCGATACCAAATTCTCCAAACTAACATAACGAGAATCGTTTGGCAGACAGTAAGGAGAATTGCTTATGAGATCTTGGGAGTTAAAGGGTTATATGATAAAGTTTTTGTATTGACTGGAAGGATTTTTCTCGGGTTTGGATCTAGGGTTTTCTTTCTCTCACGAGTAAAAGAGCAAATAACCAAAACCAAACAAAACAAACAAATAGACATAACGAAAACCCTCCAAAATATGGCCCAACATGATGGTTTCTTTAAAATTTAATCGCGTAAAACCATTTATTTGGGGCAATTTGAGGAACTAAAAGCATCGTTAATTTCTGGATAAAAGTCTAGCTCACTAGTATACATACCTACTGATCTTATGAATGGCCGGGAAAAAAGGAAAATACTTTATCTTGTAAGGACTTACCTGCATCATACTGAAGTGAAATTAAAACGACGCTGTTCTCCTCAGCCTCAAAAGAAAAACGTCTTTGATGATCCAATAACACTGTGCCATTACTTATTTCAATAGGTTCTGACAAATTACTGGTGGTATTCATTTCTACTCCATCGATTCTGTTGAGAAATCAAGGTCAGTCATAACAAGTTCTTGAACGACATTGGTTCAACCAAGGTGAATTGCATCTCTTTATTCGGGTTAGTGAGTCAACATCGCAATAGGTTTTACTTGAACAAATAAGTAACTTGAAGATCCCAGTCACCCTGGCTACAGCCTCTATCATAGAAATTGTTTGTTGATTAAGAAGCGAAAACCAAACCTTATAATGGGCAAGTCTTGAACTCTTTCAGTCTTGATCGTCATAATCGTAACAACACTTCTCCCAGCTTTGAGTGCAATTCCACCAATAAGCGAAGCTCGCTCGTAATAATAAAAACGAAATTGAAGACCAAAATCGTTTTTAACACTCTTGCAACCCCAGAACTCTCCAATTCCGAAAAAGTCAAAATTGACACCTGGCGAAGAAGGCAAAAATCAAAACCGCCATCATAAACATTACACAAATCCTGAAATAAAGCTCTCATTTACAAACGAAAATTAAAAGGATTGTTTTAAATCGATCGTTTAACTGAATAGTTTCATGAGCAAATTGTTGGACCTCTTTCAGGGTTTTTAAATTTTTCTTTATCTCTCGCTCGTAAATTAGTGAATGTAGAATCTGTTTTTCTTGTCTACTTACCATCTAATGTTTCCAGATGTGGGTCACCTCCACCATTTGCAATTAAGCGCTCACAAAATTCTCCCTCCCATCCTCCTGAACAGTTACACTCCGCTCCACAATTTGGGGCTATGGTAGGATCTCCGTTACCTGAACAGTCTGTAAAGGGAATTATCATGAGATTGATAGAAGAAAATCATTGCAGTGACATATTTCGAGAGTACTAAAATATTCATAAATACGTTTGTTATTTCACTATTTCGTCATATTATCATAATTAGGGAAAAGGAACGCACAAAATATGCCACAGTATTACACTGCAGAATAGGGTAAAAATACGGACGGAACGTGAAGCAACAAAATGGCCGCGCTGAACGATCGAAAGTTTGCTTCTTTCGGCTTTTAGGCTCAACTTTTTGAGAAAGGAACTTGTAAGTGTACCAGATTTTTTTGTTGCATTGATCAGAAAGAACACTTTAGTAGTTTCGCTTGTGTTGTTTTTGTCTTTAGCGCACACCTTATGCGATCGATAAGACGCCCAGAAAGGCCGTAAGAAGTATTTTGTAGACAAAATGTTTGAATGCCAGAAAATGAGATAAAGGTGGAATAAGAAATCCCCTATTGTAGGGTTATAAAACTGGAAAAAGTTTGAGAAATTGCTTTGTTCCTGTTTTTCTCCGCTCTTACGGGTTCGGTAAAAAAAATTCGCACCTCGCAAAATATCCGCGCTTATCATATTTTAAACTATTGAAAGAAGTGTTTGGATGCAGATAAAGCAACCTGGTACCAAAGTCTTTACTCGTGGAATTATCAAATTGAACTTTGATTTATAGAGCTAGAACAAATGCGGCTCTTGATTTCATGACTATCTTCACCACCACCGATTATCTTCATAGCACTAATAGCAATATTAGACACAATGTCAGCTTCATGAATTCAAACTTATCTAACACATATCTATTTGCAATAAGATTATAAAGAAAAAGCAAAAACGGAAAAGAAAAAAGCCGAAAAGGAATCAGCTAGCATACAGAAATACCCTGCAGCTGTTTGCACGTCAGCTGAACAATTTTCTCAAAATTTCAACTTAGAAGCTCTTCCAACTTCTTGAGAATTTGAGATGCAGTTGTTATAGAAATTTCAAGTGATTCCAAAAAAAAGAGATATATATCCTTCTTTAAAAAATTCTTCCGCCAAACTCAGTAGCATGTTTTGTGCTCTTCGCAATTTAATTTTCTTTCATCGCGCTTATCACCTTCTCGAAAACATTGACAAAACGCAAGGCAGCTATTCTTTAAAAGGAAATTCAGTTCAAATCTTTTTGCTTGCAATTTGATTATTGGATGTTCTGAGAAGAATGGGAAAATTTTCCTTACAGGCTTTTGAAAAAAGAAATAAAGAAACCTGGATTGAAATTTAAGCCTGAATCAGCGCTAATCGCCCCTCGAAACAACTGGGCCCTGCTGAGTAATTATTGTCAATAATCAAATTGTAATGCTGATGACATATGCTTACGCTATATGCCAATGGATTTGAATTTGGTTTTTCTTTGTTTCTTTTCGCTTTTTCCATAATAACGTTACTGCAATTAGGTTCATAGTTTGCAGGTCCATTTACTGTTACATACTCCGAAGAAGCCCTCTATGTGGCTGATCGCAGTCACGGCCTGTTCGTTCCTCAGAACAGGAAGGTCCTTTTCCACATGGATATTTTCCAGTCTTTCTGTTTCCGAGAAAGTAAATGAATAATGAATCCATGAATTCATCCGTTGGCCAGTCGGTCAATCGGTCAGTAAGTCAATCAGCTGCCGGCCCTGTTATTCAGTTAGCCAGCTAGTTGATCAGTCAATCAATCAGTTAATTAATCCGTCATTTCTTCAGCCTGTCGGCCAAATGGCTGGTCGGCCAGTTGGCCAGTCAGTCGTATTATTGCTGCAATATTCTTCCAACTAATTATATCTCTAGCAAAGCTTCAACCAATCTCTTTTGAAGTGACGTGATCATTTCAGCACATTTTTTCTTTATGAGGCTAAAAATCACTTTAAGACCAAGCAAACAGCAGTATTTGGGAACAGAAAGTTATTTACACGCTTGAAGCCTCAGGCTTCCTACGGGCTATAACGCGTTATGTGAAAGAATAATCAGCACTCTTACCCATTTTTCGATGGTTGATTGCCATTCCCAGGTGCTGGACTTTTATTCTCAGGTGTTGGATTTCCATTCCCAGGTGCTGGATTGCCATTCCCAGGATTTGGATTGCCATTCCCAGGTTTTGGATTTTCATTCTCGGGTGGTCTCGGTCGCGGTGGTGGAGGTCCCACACATAACTGTTACAAAGAAGATGCAAATTATATTTAAAACTAATAAAATAACGTTACACGAAGGACGCTTACTACAAAGGAAAAAAAGGCAGGCGGAATAGAATTGAAAAGTAAAATTTTAAAAGATGGCAAACTCATATAAGTTATAGTTATAATAACTTACTCTCTCACTTTTGACTGGACATATACAATCCCTAGGAAAGAACAGTAAAATATTGATTAAATAGTTTAATAAAAACGGAAGTCATGTCCGCCATTCACTTATCTTTACAAGGTCCGTTTTCTTATCTACTCACTTATCTACCCATTTATGTTCTTGCGCTCTCTTACTTACGAGCAGAACAAGGGGTCTAGGTTTCTTTCCTAAAGCTGAGAAGTAACACAGAATTTTCTTAATTCACTTTATCATTATTGTTGTTTCTATTTTCGAAACACGTTTTCATGTCTTTCATTATGCGAAAAGAACGAGGGAAGTGATTTTCTCTTTAGAATATATGTTTCTTTTACCTCCATTAGTTAGGGAAGATCTTACTTTGTTCATTAGCATTTTCATTTTATTTGCAAGGGTATGGGATATCATTTTTCTCATTTATAGCCTCCTTTTGCTCGTGCATTTTAGGTAGTTAGTTTCATTAACAAAAGTGAGTGTATGACAGTTACTTCTTCGCGTCACTATTCTATATGTCAGGAGTCAAGTTGTTTCTATAAAACGTGAATTTTTTTACCAATAGCGTTTACTCTGAGAATATCCCAAAGGAAGTTCAAGTGTCAAATGTTTTTTAAGAAATCCAACCGAGACACCGAGATTTACACCGGAAATTCCGTAGAAGCTTTCCAATTCAGCGGGTTTGTTCCCACTGCATTGAGACGTAAGAAGCCGTATGGCCAGACCAGCTTCTAGTGGTACGCTCACAAATACCGCCATGGAAAGGTCCACATACTCAAAACCAGCCTCAACTGAAACAAAATTATCTTTATTAATAATGACAATAGAACCGAATGGAGTCCAATTCGGTCTGTAATCATACCATTGATAAACAAAATCGGACGACCGCGAAGCGGGAGTCCAATTTGTTAATCACAGGTTGGATGACAAGGAGTCCTGTTACCAATTAATCATAACCATTTAAATTTCCGAAAACAACAAATACACCCAGAGCAAATCTCTCTAGAGGAGATAATGTCTTTAGTTAAAAATTCTTCCATTTTGGAAATTTCCCAGCCTTTTTTTTGGATAAGTTGCTGTTGCTTTGCTTATTGCGATCAATTCTGTGATTGGTGGATTTAGCTGAGCGGACCTTGTATGATTCGCTGCCTTAAATGTCCGATTACGGGTGTCCGATTACAGCCAATTATACGATTGCACTATACAATTACAATTGTACAGAATGATTAGTGAAAAATGAGGCTGCAAATGCACCAATAACATTTGAGGAATTTGCAATGGTTATGATAAAACCCCATTATAAGACTAGAACGTATGGTCGAGGTAACCATAGTAATGAAAATAGAGCAATGTTCAAATAGGAATCAAAGGTATTCCGAAATTGCATCGATTTTGCTTTAGTTCGCCTTGTGATTGGTCTAAAGAGTTGGAGAGCCGATTATTCTCAAGAAAAAAATTGATTGAGTTGATGTAAGGCGAGAGCGTTTTGCGTCCAATAAGCAAAACAAAAATTCGAATGCAACTATCGCTTATCTGCACCTTACCTGATGTAAACTTTACCTAAACTAATAAATCAGGAACTTTGGTTAAATTTGGATAGAAGTAGGCCGCACGAAAGAATTGTTTGATTGATCTCACCTAAATCGTCGAAAAAACTAAAAAAGGATGACTTGGTTGATTTTGATCGCGATTTTGGAGACGCTGGCAGTTTCACTGAGATTTTGGGTATCACTGTAATCTCGACGAATGCTCCAGCTTCCAATTGCGGATCTGGGCTGCTCCAGTCTTTGCGAAGAGTAACCTATATTAGTGATATGTCAAAAAAGGATAAAATTTGGTCTCAAATGGAGAAAAAAAGGAAAAAAATATAAGAAGAGAGGAAGGAGGAGACGAGAACGAGGTAGCTGATACTGATGAAGAGGAGATCGAGTCGTGGTTGCACAGGCTTGTTGGCGCTCAGTTGCCGCGTAACAGTGACGAGGCGTTCAATTTTTTTTTCTATCCTAAATGCAAAGCGAGAACGTTGGCCTTCATCTTCTTAGCAATAGGATAATTGATAAGAATAATTTTAAGAAGACGAATGTTTAAAGACATCATCCAAATAAGTTTTGACTTGATTGAGGTCGTGATAAATTAAAAACCCACAAACGTATAACGGTGCTAATCACGGAAAACCCACGAACGTATAACGGTGCTAATCATGGAAAACCCACGAACGTATAACAGCGCTAATCACGGAGAACCCACAAACGTATAACGGTGCTAATCACGGAAGAGCTCAGAAATCTGTTGATTTGGAACAGCTTTGTGAAAAATTAGCAGTGTTGCAATCCTTGACACAGAGCAAGAGGTACAAGCCGCCATTTTGTCAACAGGTAGGGACCAGTCCAACCGCAAAAAGTTTATAGAGTACATCTAACACTTGAATGATGAAGAAACTGAAACATTACTGTGCAATTTTTCTTCCCTTACAGTATCAGCAGTTTTGTAGCAACTACCACGGCTCCAACGGCATTCGCCTCCAAGAGAGACCCTTCCATTGACTGATAATGCACGGGAAATTTTTCCCTAGGGAAAAAAAAGACAGTGAGTTAATTCAATCTCTTTGTAAATGGACGATATTTTCCTTAACTACTCGAAAGCATAAATTGCCGCTGCGAACTTCTTGGCCACGGTACTATACTTATTGAATCTTTGTTGTCTTGCTGGGTCACGTTCGTGTTTTGGTTCTCTATGATCTCATCGAGACAACTAAAACAGGTAGGACGCAATCATGACATCCCATCATTGATTTCGCACCAACCAACCAAAAAATAGTAAAACTGAATAGCTGATTGACTGAGTAGCTTGCTGACTGGGTCACCGACTGCGACTGAGTAGGCAATAGAGGAAATACATTTGCTTGTGTTAACTCATTGAAGTGTTTCATGATAACGTACAATCATTTTAAATAATAGACATTAAATGAGAGAGTTCTGATGTTTTCAAGGCCAGTGGTTAAACTAAAACGTTAGTGAATTGCATCGCCAACTTACAGATAATCCAGCAGATGCATATCCTGTTATTTCCAAGAAGATACCGGCAGGGATTTTAATTGGTCCAACGGGAACGTAAATTGAACGACCGAGCTGTTTTCCTTTCATGATGTTTAGGCCTTTTTCATGTCTGTAGACAAACATAAAAAGGATGATTAATTAATCCCGATCAGCTAAGTCGTCTTTTGCTCGTAAGCTGACCATATTGTACCTCAAAATGACACAAGAATCAATGTTAAAAAAATATATTGGCTTCATCGCAGAAAAGAACAAAAAACTGTCCACCACAGCAACGTCAGTTTCTCAGATTTCATTTTCTTTTCTTTTGCCGAAAGAATTATTCGGGGTGATCTTGGGCTTAAATTAAAATTGCTTACCTCAACTCCCCATCAACATTAAAGGTCAAAGAGAAATCTAATTCTCCCTTTAACTCCAGGCCAACAGCCGCATCCTCTATTCCGCCAAACCACTTCGGTTCTATCTCAAGAAACATAGTCAGTTCGAAAAACATTTCCAAAGAGACTTGTAGCTTGGCGCTCTCCGTTGACAACAACTGAGGAAAATGAAAATTTAAAGGACATAATTTTGGGGGGGAAACTGAGAAGATTTAGATAGATATCAGAGAGCAAACTTAACATAGCATTTACCTAACTCTCGGTTTGTTTAAAATACTTTTGTAGAACTATTTAAAAGTGCTGTACCTTGTGATGTATGCTGTCAGGTTTGAAACTTGCCGATTCGAAATCGAATCTCGTCGACCGCCTACTTCGTCTGTTGTGGCTTTTCAGTATGTTTATATCTACAGCTGTAGTAATGGTTCCATTTCCGTCCAATTTGGCAGAAATTACTTCCACCAGAAGAAAATTTCCGCTGGAGTAGACTTCTACAACCTGAGGTTTGAGGTGATATAAGATTGTATAGTTAGCTCAGATGATTACCAAATGCAAAAGCAGATGAATACAACCTCGTATAAACGCACCAAAAATCTCGAATCATGAATTTTATGATACATTTTTCTTTCCCCAAGAGGAGAACACTATTTAACTCGTGGGGACAGCAATAACAATCCTATTAAAATTAAATATCCTGAAGTTTGTTGAGTTGGCTCGTCACTCTATTTAGAGACATGCTATAATTTTGCAGTTTCTGAATGATACTCCACATAACCGACTACGCTAGCTGTCTTGGTAAGTATTCAGTGATCCCTTCATTTTGCTTCTTTAAGATGCTCGTGCTTTTATTTATTAATCTAACTTGGACCTCAAAATACGGACATTACCTTTGCAATGAAGGCTCCACTAGGTCTTCCAATAATTGAGTCATTGACAAAAAACTGCCGACCTCCATCCTCTGGTTTTGACAGCACAAGGCCTTCGTTGTTATCCCCTCCGCTGCAGGATACTGACCCAGAAAGCCTTGTTTTACTTTCCTGTATTCTGGTTTGTGGGAGCAAGTAAGAGTAAATTTACTCGAACGAAAACGTAAGGATAAGTTGAGCTTGGCATCCAAGGTCTTGGATTTTAGGGCAGGATCCCTAACACCTACAGCTTAGTCACAGCCTCGATCGAAATTCGTGCACAATATTTTAAAATAGATTTTAGTTCTATTTGTAAAGAAAATGTGGTGGGCAGGAGTGGTTTCGAACGCGTGCTTCTTAGCAGCCAGCTGGATTTGGGACTTTTGTTGCTCAAGATATCCACTTTTTGTTGTCCGATAAGTAAATTACTGAGTAACCAGTAATCATGCCAAGGCTTTTTAACCCCATAAAGTCATACATATTTCTAAAAAGTCCATGAACAGTTAACAACAAACATGTTGACTTAATAAGTATGGATGCGTGCACTTTAAACCAAAGCAAAAATGTCAGCCTTGAACAACAATTCCAATATGGTCATTAGCCTACAGCTTTCTGGCTGCGTTAACGGGAAATCGTTGCGTTCTGGGGAAAGAAGGTGATATTTTTTTCTTGTCAAATGTCTCCTACCCCAAACTGGCGCAAATACGCCATCGTCTCAACTTGGCCCGCCTGATATTAAAATAAGGTGTCATCATTAATAAAAATACCTTGAGCCTTTCCAATGAGAGCTTGCTTCACATCGCTGAAATTTCGTTTCCAAGTAATCAAAGTTGTTCGTTCTATGAACTTTAACAACAGTCTCGATGAAACCATCACTAGTATTGGACACAACTATGTCACCTTTCTTTGGGGCGGTATTGTTTTTTTCTATTACCAGGTAAAACGAATGGACAATGATGTTTCCAGTGTCATATGTGTGACCAAGGCACTTGTATATCTCTAAAATGATAATTAAGAAAACTGTTTGAATTTTTTTGAGTTGAGTATGGCTTTTGGAACCAGAAATATCTTGCAGGTCCTGAAGGTCTGTTTGTCTGTTCATCGTATCTGTGCTTATTTGCTCCCTTGTTTGTCTTTCATGCACTTATGAGGAGTTATGCAACGCATTAAATTGTAGACATAACTAAATGATCTTCAGTCATTTAAGAGGTGTTAAGCCGGTTGATACAAAAATGTTTACCTACCATTTGAAAGCGCAATTACCCGACCCTCATCGAGCGTAATGTTGCCTGTAATAACGTCCCGCAGGTCACCTTGATCAGGCTCATCCTCAAACGTCGAGCCGTCGTCTACTTGCACTGCAGTTACTTCTTCTTTAAAGTCCGCGTACTTTATAATCTCTTCTAACCCTGCTGGGGTGCTCAACATCAATTGAAAAGGACCTTTCGAGACAGTGATAGATTTGAGAATTGAACGTAATTAGGTATGTTTTAGAGATACCTTAGCTCCTAATTATACTAAATTCAAGTCGTACTTTAGTAAGATCTCAATTGATGAAAAATTCCGCCCATGCCCCTTAAAAGAATTATTAACGTAGAACTTTTTTAAAACCACAACTTCTCCAATATTCAAATGATCGATTTGATCGACGACTTTGTAAAGGATGTGACAAACATTTATAGTCATTACACTCACCATCGCTGATTTCTTTGACAATCTTGTGCATAATACCTCCTGCCTGAGGACTACACACTATATCACCTTTTTCAACTTTCAGGACTTTTGGTGCAACTAAAACTAGCGACACTCTCTCCTGATTTGGCAAAATTACTGGACATGTGTAAACGAGCGTCTCGTTCGGCTCCACAAACTTCACGTTTTTAGCAAACTCCACATTATTTCTTCTCTGGGGATCTGTATAATCCACTTTAATTTTCCCGCCTGGACACTTAGTCTCATTCCATGACCTGCATTGGTTTTCGTCCTGTTAGGAGGTTTAATAGTTAACAGAGTAATGCTACCTTCGACCTATGAGCAATGGGGTACGCGAAACAATCAGTTTCCTAGCTATGGGGACGGCGCCGTGCAGTTGGGAAATAGTATGAAGTAGAGCTGTAGAGATTTCCAACCAGATATACTCCCATAGGTCAAGTATTCTGTTTTTATTCCAATCAAAGTGTTTCATGCTGCGTTTTCGCACTTACTGGTAATGATACTGCAAGTGAGATTAACTGGTTCTATCAACAGAGTTTGCTTCAACTTTACTGGTAGTTGCTATTTGCACCTAGATATATGTAATATTACTTTCAACTGAGTTTTTTCTCATGAAGACCACCGTAAACTGTCACTAAATTCAATAAGCAACGATTAGGAACAGAAAATAAAGATAAAAATCTTACTGTAATTTTGTGACATCTTTCGAGATCGCTGCATTTTTGACAGGATTCAATGGTTGCTCCTCCACCTTTGAAGTTGCAATGCCTACCTCTACAATTCACCCTCTGTTTACGAAAATACATTTAGAAACACCTATCGTTAGACGATAAATATGGAACATTGAGTGACGTAGTATTTTAAGCTATTCTACCAATCATCGCGCCCAGAGACTATGGTGCTTTGACAGCGCATACGTTTTGTACGGTTTTCTTAGGCAACGCAATTTCACGGTGTCCTTCTGTACATGGCAGTACAAATGGATAACGGGAAACTGGTAGGAAAACCTAACACAGAGGGTTATGAGCATAAACCGGTATGCAATCCAGGTAAAACTACTGCTTGTTTGCTTTGTGTTAGAAGCGGAGAGTGCTCTGATAGTTAGGGGCCGCTAGATTTAAGATAGTAATGATAAAAAAGAATAAAACAGCACAGCATAAAACAAAAAGCAATCAAACAAGCAAAAGAAAACTCAGAAATAAATATCTAACCAACTGATAAGCAACACTCGCTAGTGCCGCACCTTTCCGTCTCTCTAGCATTGTTTACTTATATCGACCTGAGTGCAGCATGGTGTTGATGTGTTCGCATCACAAATTATTTTTCTCCTCTTCACCTACCATTATATCTCGTGAACAACGTTCGTCTCCTACTGTATAACAGTGGTAATAAAACCAAGCGGGACAACTTATTCCTGGAGGCCCCGCGGCAAAACCTCCGAGGCAGGAGCGTGAACTGTCGCACCATCCACAAAACGGGTCTGTCACACAATCAGCACAACTTTCGTACTTTCCACAGAAGGAGTAAGTGCAGCCAAGACCCTGAAGAAACATCCATAAACTTTCCTCTTAGCTTGCTTAAAAAGGATAATTACTACTGTTCTCATGCGATCAGAGACAAAACGGATGGGTCTCAAACACAATGGTTGTAAATTTACGAAAGCACAGTGACTTGTGTCGTTTTAATCAGATTAGGATACTAAAGACCTTCTAGAGTCCTAAATGGCGACTAAATTTCCAAACGTTAACCTAGCGTTAGAAGCTCAACCAGAAATGCTGGCTTCATAGACCTTGCTTATTAATGCGTGGCTATAGCACGATCTTACTTCTCCTTCCATCTCTCGGCGATCTGTGGGGGCAGCAAAAGAGGGGATTTTCACGATAACCAGTGCATCAGCTTTTTTTAAACACGCCTTGTGATTGCCCGTAAGCGACCGCCTAACAAAGTTGTTTCAAGGTGATGATATCCATTGTCAAATTGTGTAACACGGGAGAAGATTTTCTATGGAATCTTAAGATGTGCTTTAAGATAAGTTTTCATATGAGTTTTAGATGGTGAAGATGAACATTACATAAATCATAAAGATGCTTGAGATCTGATTTCTAAGAAATAAAGTTTAACACTCTTGATCACTTGCTGAGAGCGCACTAAATCGCCCACACAGAACCAGTTGCACAAATCTAGTTTCTACCTTGCCAAGGCTGATTCCTGTTTTTTAAAAGTGGCCCTGTCAGCTAGGTATCAAACTTGCTACAGTCAACACAGTTATGAGCTACGATGGAATTGAATAGAAATGCCACTTACTAAATATCCGGGGTAACATTTGCACACATTGGGACCCATGCATTCACCTTTACCAGAACAGTTATGCAGGTCATAGCAGTGAAACTTGGAACAATCTTCTCCAGTCCATCCGGGATAACAGAAACACGTTGCGCCTATACAGTCCCCATTATGGAAACAGCTGTTCGGGCAGTGGATAACTATGAAGCCAAAAAGAAGTTTATACAGTTGGTTCTTGCTTCCTTCATAAGTAGGCATATCCCTTACACATGGTGTCACCCCCGTCGGAGTACAGGCCACGGGAGGGCCCTGAATAAAAACCTTCCCTCCTTCAGTTTTCACTATGATTCAGTATTTGTAGAAATATTTAACTTAAATTGATATCCTATTATTTAATCTACAAGAGGAAATACAAGTTATAGACTTTGCGTATCAAATATGCTTCGGGGCGTGGTGTTATGTACAGAAGTGCTTATCTCGTCTTATTAGTAACAATGGCAATGATGATGGAGCGCTCTATATGAGGCAAAATTCTCGACAAAGTGCGCCATAATTATAGTTATTATAACACTAGCGTTGTTGCTCATCGCAGTTATAATGATGAAAGTTTAATGGTTGTCTTTCAATTTAGAGTCACTAGTACATGCAGATGAACAGTCAAGCTATCAATTGGGGATTGCTGCATTTTGACAAGCTTACTACTTCTTTTTGTCAAGTGATGAGGTCCAGTGATTTCGTATCGATATTCATCTAGCATGATCATTTAATACAACGATATAATTCATTTATCAGTTATGATATTGAGTGTGATTTACCTGGCCTCCTTACGCAGACAAAAGGAAGAAGTTCATCACAATGAACTTGTGAAATATTTCCGGTGGCAGCCACAGCAGGACATAGGTTATTTTTCTGATCAAATCCACTTTGGGACTGTAGCAAAAAAGATGAAAAGATAAATGTCTCGACTTTTCATAACTACTTCTCTTTGTACATTATTATTATCATTTTATCTTCTTTAGTCGTGAAAAAAATTCAAGAAAAAAAAGAACATAGGCACACAAAAGGAGTAAATGAGACAAAGAGATGGACAGAAAAAAATGGTGGAAGGTCTTATCAGTGTGCCTTAAGTGAGCCTTAACAGTTGAGGAAGTAGGTTATTTTGTTTCTCTAACGTCTGTGAAAAATTATCCCACTATTATTGAGAAAATTTCAGCCTAAAATTTTTTTTTTCATGAGAAATTACGAAGTGCCATTCCAACCTTTTCGAAGGTGCCAAAATTGCGAAAGGGTCTTAGGCGCAGAGAAGTTTCATTTGCGTTTAGGTAATAACAGTTTTAAAGTATTACAATTCTTGTTTCAAAACCTGTTAATACGAAGACCTCGCACCGACAACAATGCATGTCTAAGGCCTTGTGCGGGTTTTTGAACCCATTTTATAAGGATGATGTTCTTAGTTCATCTACATACAATTCTCATCGTGTAAAGAAGAGTCGACGTGGGTTGATATGAGGCTATGAGCATAATTTGGTGCCCATGATATTATTAAATTATTTGAAAAATAATTGTGGGACAGAAAATTAATTCCGAACTTGATGTTTTCTCACCTCTCTCAGAAAGCGTCTACTTATGGTCCACAGGGAAGGCAACACGCCTGAATGAACCAAGGATTCTTTCTGTCGAAGATGCTTCATGAGTCGTGTGTCTTCGTTTGAGAGCATGGTGACGAGATTTCCACCATAACTCTACAAATGAACGTAAAATTAATAACATGCTAAGTGAGCATATGGCACTTTTCTAATAAAGGAACAAAATTCAGTTCGAGGAAGACGAAACCGAGGGACTAAGAGAGGAACCGAATGCAGCCCTCATATGGCATTAGGTGATGTCGCCCCCAAGCTTATTTACCTTTCCCCCCTAGTGTATTCATTTCACCTCAAAATTAATTTCATCTCAGCTCGAGCGGACAAATGGAAACAGGAATAAATACAAAAAATGAACAGAGAAAGCCAAAATACAAGAAAAAAAGGGACTAAAATAGAGTGTCAGTATCAACTGCGCTTACCCCACAATATTTCTCGGTATCAGTGAAAGTGAAGGAGCCTCCTTTGTACATGTAACACATCTCATCGTCTTTAATCCATTCAGGCGGACAAGACACTAAGAAGAAAATTGATAAGACAAAAAACGGATGAGCTGAAAATTTATAAGCTGTTTTGTATTCTAAGGTATGATAAATTAATGAAAAAAATCCAAAAACATTAAACAAAATACGGTTAATTTCGATTTACTTGAGAAAAGAGTTAACACTGTTTTTGAGAGAACATTGATGTTTTAAGTAGCCGAGCAGTATTTTGATATAAAAGAGGTTCATTTTAAGGTGAGAAAGTTAGACATCAAAACAACATGAAAGATAGACTTGGACCTGGAAATCCCAATAAATATTGACCTGATATAGCTGTTTGAGGTGGTAGCTTGACGAACGGCTGGAACACAACTGTTATGGACAGTCGATAATCCGTTGTCTTATCCATGATCAGAGAAGAAATCAGATTTGGTACATTCTCTCCCCACCAATTTAAAGTGGCGTTTACTGTGATTGGACTCCCTCTCATTGTGGTACTGAATTGATAGCGGTTGTTAGGATTCTGAAAAACGTTTCCATGAATTTCTGCTGTTCCATTGCACAGAATAGTCGCTCCGTAGTTAACATCGAACCCCCTTGCACCGTTCTTGTACAATGTATTATTTACAAATCGAAGACCAACAGTACTTGTTTGAGAATTATCATACACCAAAACGTAGTGACCGACGTTGCTATAAAAGAAATTTCCTTGAACAATCGCCCATAACTTTGTTATGACACAAACGCTATCGGCTTTGCCATCCAAATCTCGTGCCAAGTTTCGAGAAAAATAGTTATTGCTCACGTTAACATTCATATAGGGCCCAGAAACTCCCTCTACGTGTAATATGCCTCCTTTGTTATACTCTATGGTGTTTGCATGGATATGGCTGACCGGTGGTCTTGTCGTGGACAATTCATTGAGTACCTTGGAATATATACCTCCATTGTTATTTCCAGCAATGTAGTTATTGACTATTTCAAATACTTGCTCAAAAGCATTGAGGTGAATCGCTCCTGGTAGGCTTCCTCTAAGTACTGGATTCAGACCATTGTTTGTTACCTGACAACGTTCTACTTTGAAAATATGTCTTTCACTTTGAGTCATCGCGTAATGTATACCTTGTTTCTTGTTACCACTAAAAACACTTCCGGTTACTTGATGTACAGCACTAGCAGCTATTAAGAAAATGAAATTTACCTTTTTCTGTGTACAACTCGAGGCAAACAAGCTTCAAAGAGGGTTATCTTATTTTCGGTATTTATCTTCTTCAAGCCTTAATGCATTAGTTTGTTTACGAATTGGAAATGTCGACTAAATTTATAGGGGAGACACCAACGAATCACCTTCTTTTACTTAGAAGTTTACCATATAACGTAAACATCACCAATGGAAAACAATTCCTCACCCAAGGGAAGAAAAAAGTTCCCCAGTTTCTCCAACACCAAGTATATGCGACCTTAGCTGAATACCTGGCTGACCAAAGAACCATTTTTGTCAAAAGCTGGGATGTTTTTTAAAAACTTTTGCACAGCGCCATGCATATCAACGGTCACCGATTAAAAAGTTCCCTTAAAACTTAAGGAAGCAATTATTTAGGTGTTACAGTGTCATTTCTTTGATCACTATGTTTTTCATGAAACACTGAGGATTTCATTAGCTAATGTGCAGTTCACCTGTAATGTATTTGTCAATTTGAAATATATCACAGCTTACATGGATCACAACTGACGAAGGCCAGGTCATCGATTTCAATATGGGTCCACGCCTCTTCATATCCCAATATCACAATCGAGTAACTGGCGTCAGTGTAGGGTAGCTCAATCACTATCTTTTTCCAGTGAGTCACGTAATCGCTCATGGAAAAGAGCAAGGTTGAATTATCACTAATGTCTTCTATAAGAAAAATGGATAGCGATGCTAATGACTTGGATTCGGGGTCAGTCCGCCTGAAGTAGAACACCAAGTAACAATAATTGTTGTCGCTGGAAATTGATGGGCTGGTAAAGGCAGCATAACCAGAAAACCAGTGTCGCAAAAGACGTAGTACTCCCCCTGCTTAAGATAGAAATCAAATATGAAATTTGATTATGTCTTTGACAGATGTTCGCATTTGTTGCTGTTTTAACAATCTTATGGTACCTTAGGCAGTGATACTCTTAAAGACAGAGGCTTTGATTCGCTATCAAATATCTGATAAAATTTGAGACGGTGAAAATATATGGCACCTTTGAGGTTTAGTTTCAAAACTTTAAATTGTCTACAGAAAAACATGGGGAGAGCCGAAAAATCTCGTGCTTCTGTTACAGTTTAAGCGCTCATTATCACTTCAGCTGAAATTGCACAGGAATATTCTCCTTCTAGATGAGACAATATCAACAAGATTTTCGAAAGTTCAAGTCCTTGGTCATAGTTTATACGAAATTCTCTTTTTGATCAACAACATTGAAATTTAGACAGTTTCACGATTGCTCCTCTCAGCCAATCCTATGAGAGCACTAGAAGTTGATAAGTAGAGCTGAGAGATCAACATATCAACGTACACGACTGCGCTGAGACGGTGCGGGTGGAGTACTTTGAATTTCTGCGGTAACAATGTCATCAGGCGACCAACGGTTTTCCGACATTGGCACAATTCCAGCCTTCTCTCTTTGTCATACTACCGTTTAGTTGTTTGATCGATTGCCTTCAAGTTACCTGAATGTACACTCCCTAACCTTGTTCCTTCTATATTTATTCTCTGGCGATTGCAAATCACTACTCCAGCTCGTTGAGGTACTCCCAGTAGGTTTTGTTTGAGTTCTTTAACAACTTTGCATTCTTTTTCCCGATTCTAATCTTATCATTGGGTCGTCTGAAAATATTTATTTTATTAATTACTTGGGCTGCTGTTCTGATGTCCTTTAACGATCTTTTGAAGTTTACGAAAAGTCGTTCTCAAGAAATTCCAATTCACTCGATAACGTCGAGTCCTGGAATCCATTTCTAAGTTTTTGACTGGAGGAACCCTATCCACAAAAGCGCCCGGAGGGAAAACGTTTTGTCGACGGAAGGAGATCCCAGCCCCACCACCTAACTTACTACTTTGTAGAACAATCGAGGCGTAACCTAAGCCAGCTCATATCCGGTTATAAGATAGATGAAAACTTAGCTGAGAGATTAGCTCATGCGAATATCCTTTATAAAAATCTTTAAACTTCAATCTTATATTACTTATCACAACTCACCATTGCCATAGGTGTGGTCATAAGCACTGTCTCTATAATACCACTTCTTTCTCAAGTCAATTCCTTTAAAATGTGATGTGGGATAACGTCTCCAGCCACAAAATCCACGGTCAAATGAGCATGGAATATCTGAGGAAAATTTGGCAGAATTGTTATCAGATCCTATCGTATTGGCTCCCTCTTACCATTCACATAATACACTTACGTGTTACAGAACAGTTGTTGAACAAAGCGCAGACGTTACCGTGGCGAATCCAGAACGGGGGTCCAGGGAGTCTAAGCCCCAATTCTCTTCAGACTATTGGGTTTTTCCTACCACTTGTACGACACCAAAGTTCTTGCAAATTCACAAATTTTTCTCAACTTGAGGTATCTAAAATTAACTTGTCTTGAAGTTCTTAGCTTATTTTGGCTCTAGAGCGAAAAAAAGAGACGAAAAAGATCCACGTTTCCTGATTCAAAGTTGGACTCCCCTCGCCTTTTTTCAAACTCTGTGCGGCCTTTGCTTTATGTACAGGAAAAGAAAGAAAAAGCATTGACTATGATAAGGATGACGACAATAATTGATAACGATAATGATAACTTACATGCTGAAGTTAACGATAGCGAACGCTGACGATAACGATAAAGAGAACAACAGTAATTATAATAAGAGTGATAATGATAGTGATAATGGTTGTGATAATGATAATAATAATTATAATGATTATAATAATAATAATAATAATAATAATAATGGTGATGATGATGAAAAGTTCCAGCTACTAACCTTTGCTATCAACACGTCGAACGTGAAAAAGCATTTTGCTACTGTACGATCCATCAAATGTGACTGTAAAAGAATCCCACTTGATCAATTTTCTTTTTAAGAGTAGACCTGGGCTGCTACCATAAGACCTGAAGATTTCATGTCCATTAGGCAGTTCTATCCGAAAATATCTTGCATTTTTTAGGACTAGTAGCTGGATAGCAAAACCAGCACTTGCCTCTGTTTGAACCTTTATTTGGCAGGATACCTCTAGATCTGAGAAAGACACGAATGGTGCCCTAAAGTAAACGAATACATCGTGATCCATGACATTCACCACTTTTTGTGGGGAGCACAGATTAACTTTCCCGTATATATCAATCCAATCACCGTATGCTTCATGAAAACTCAGACCAAACTCGTTTTTTACTGATTTGACGTTTTTAAGTGTAACATTGTTTTTGGTACTGATAAAATCAATTCCATTTCCTCCAGTATTTACGAAGGAACTGTTCGTTATAATCACCTCTTTTTCTGGGAACCAAACCTTGATACCACCTGATGAGCAGTTAAGAACAGTCACATGATTTACTTTTGGAACGTACTGAATCATTTCAATGGCAGCCACGTTTTGGCCATGTTTCTCGCCACAGTGCTCAATTCTTAGGTGTTTTAAACTTGATGTTGACAGGTTTGAGGTGTTCCTAGCTTCGCGAAGAAATCTGATATTTCCCCAAGGCCTTCCTTCGCCACAGTTTAACACAAGATGATACGACATATTGCAGCTTTGGTTTTGGAAAGATAAAGAGCATTCTGCTAAATCCAACTCACTTCCTTTACAATGAAGAGCAGCACAAGCATCCCGAGTACCGGACGAATTGTGATGGGAGTGACTGATGGACAATGGTACTTTATAGCCCAGGTGTTCACATATCAGTTTTGCTTCATTAGTTTTCGTGCCCTGCGTCTCATTGAAACACAGTGAGGTCCAATTCCAATTGTGCAGTATCTCTACACGTCCTTCCCAAGGGAACTTGCCTCCGGTTAATCGAATTTTAAGAGAATCGTCATCTTCTGTCCTTTTTGAAAGAGAAAATTTAACAGGTTGATCTACATTTCCGCCCACAAAGAGTGAACCAAGAACCAACATGCCGACCCTTGGCTTAAAATGCATCTCAACACCAGGGTCAATTGAAAGAGAAGCTTCAGGCAGAATAGTGACATCGGAAACAACTGTATAGGGACTTTTCTCTTTTCTTAGAAGAACGTTGGATAAAATCCTTCCTCCCAGAAAGCTTTTCAAGAGCGCGTTAAAGGTGGTATTTTCTTCTGAACCCTTAATTGCGCTTCCTGCATTACTGATGTAAGGACGAAAAACAGCAAATGCGTGTTCGTACTCGTCTTCAGCATGAAAAATTCTCTCCTTGATTTTTTCCTCGTCATCATAACCCCAGAAGTTTAATGTAGCCTGCAATGTGCTGCTATGCGAAGAAACATAGGTGTATGCACAAAGTTCTTTTGAGAAGTCCAGGCTGCTAAATCTGTTGAAATTAATGAAAAATGCTCTCCATTCCATTCCATTCCATTCCAAAGTAAATCCAGAGACTTGTAACTCACAGGTTGGGGAACTTGATGATACAGCCACGTTGTTTAGGAGCGAATTGTTCAAAAACGTTACATTCTTCATAACAGTGTTCCCTCCTACAACGTATTCGCACTGGAGAAGAACCATAAACTGCCCTTTATTCGATTTAAGGATGTTGTCGACAATTGCGATGTCTTCACTTATCCTCTGAATCTCAATGACTCCACTATTCAGGCAGCTGTTGTTTGTGAAGACGTTACCTCTTATAGTTGCACCTGAAGGAGAGGTTCTTTCTATATAAACAGATCTCCCATGGTTTTGTTTAAAGATGTTTCCTTCTATGATCAGAACTTTTGTGCCTCCTATTATGTCTATGACGCTTTTATCTTGGCAAAAGTTGAACAAGAAACTATTATTTCTCACAAATAATTCAGGAGTGAAGTATCCATTCGTATAATGCGTAGTCAAAATGACAGGACCTTGAGTGTTATTCAGGAAAAGGTTACCGTCAAATTGCCATGGATTAGAATGTGGAGACACGTTGATGTCTATTACAGGGCCTCGATTGGCATAAAATGTACAGTTTGTAAAGGAGGTATAGGATGAACAAGGCGAACTGCAACCATAACTACTTCGGGAATAAACAGAAGATGCCTTATTCCATCCAAAAAATATCCTGGTTGCAGAAAGTTTCACTTTGGTATAACTACCAGCCAGAAAAAGCCCATGTCCATTGCTATGGAAAACACCACCATTTTCAATATGGATTGTTTTTTCACCGTTCGTGTCCACATATAGTCCATTTTCGGTCGAGTTAGAAGCCTTGGTGTTCTCGATATTCACGTTACCTGAAAATGAAGAGAGCTTGATTCCAATCTTGTTTCTAACGAACTGGCAATTCAGCAGCTTCAAGCTGTTAACGTGGGAAAATGCTGTCGATAAGCCATTCTTGGGTGAGTCTCGTACGTCCGTTTTTTGGATTTCAACTATTCCTGCGTTATCTCCACCCAAGAAAATTCCACCTTCACTGTTGTGGCTGAAATTGCTTTTGGATATTACAAGGTTTGGTGATCTGATCTTCGTCTTTCCACCACCTGTTGGTTGAAAACAAAAATAATTGTTTATGAACACAAATCAGAGCCTTACACAACTTTTTTCTGACATAAAGCATGTTTGCGAAAAAGACGAATTCAGGAAAATCTCCATCGATTGCGATCCGTAACTGACTTTTTAATCGATAGTCAAAATTTTCATTGTTTTGATGAGGATAGTAATTATTAAATTAACTTTATGCCCTTTGATCACAAGAAAAGGATTCCGATCCTTGCAGTGCAACTCTGCCCAACTCATTAAGAGTAAAGGGCGCATTTGACCACCTCACAAAATATATTAATACACAACGAAACTCAATCATTCAGATCACGATTAAATTTAAGAAACATATTTTTAAAACAGCAAAGTGGTAAATTATTATCCTCAGTGATGACTCGTGTTCTTTTGTTGACATCATGAAAATCACCAAAGGATCCATTAATCAAGTAAATCTTTCTTGAAATGTCACCACCGATATGATCAATCTCCTAATGAAACAGTTTATTTCCTTAAACTTCTGTTTATAGAGGTAATAGGATTTGTTAATCACGAGTATGATTACAGACAAAATCGGACGACACGAAGTCCTGTTACCAATCAACTAAAATTACGACAAAATTTGAGCAAGAAACTAGACATCGGTGATACCTTTCATAAAAAAAAAACACTAAAGTTAACTCGGTGAAATGCGAGAAAACAGCGGGCGTTCACGACGCGATCTGTCCACTTACACAGATCACAGTGTCCAATTACAAGCATGACGCGTACACTGTCCTATAAGTGCTAGAATCGGGCTAGTGACAACTCATCACGTTAGAGAATTTTGTAATAGTTTTGATTACACTAAAAATTGTGGTCAAAATTCTTCCACGAGGAAGAAGAGCTCTAGAATTTGCCTTACTCCCAGGCTGTGTGGCTTTGGAGATCTTTTTCAAACAGCGCCCAAATATTATTTTGAGGGACGGGTTCAAAGCCTGTGGAAGCCTGAAGCTTACTTTTGCAATTGCAAAAATTGCAGTCTACCCACGTAGATCATTGCTTAACTCGATATGATTAAAATAGTAGCTGAACTTACTTTTGATGAGAAACAGTAGAAAATGCACCGTGTCGTCTTCATCCGGGTATCCATACCCTTTCTCCAGTAGGATTGAGCTATTGCCAGTCATCCAAGCAGGACGGCTGTACCAATTTAACATATGGATATCCCAGAGAGTGCCCTTTGTCTTGTTTGTTCCATTGTACACGTGGAAAACTATGCTATATACATTGTGATATATTAGCTGCAATCCTATCGTATATTCCGGTGGAACGGTAATTATGGCCTTGCAGGCTGCTCTGCTCCGTAATGTCACAACTAGATAATAAACCGCACTAGAGTCACTAATAAATGTTTCGCTTTCAGTACATATGTCCATAAACTTCTTCACAGACGCATCTGCCATTTTTACCACGTGTGTGTTGAGAGTATCCCAGTTGTAACGATACGAAAATCCGTAGCCTTTTGTGTTTACGACATTTGTACTTAGGAACTCAATAAATGGAGACTCCAAACGTACTCCATCCGACTCGGTTTCAGCTATTGTTGAATTCTCGATTTCATTTGAATCTTTTAAGGGGTCTGGATACATAAACTGGAAACCAATGGCAGCAGAATTACTCACAAAGACACCGCTGATCACGTGACGTGGGAGGTCCACTCTGAAGGCGATTCCGGGAATAGTCAGGTCGTCTCTATATGGAAATCCTGCATATCGCACCTCAACATTGCTGAAGACGCTTTCCTTTGAAGTCACAGCAAGATGAACGCCAGCCCAGTAAGGAATTTTACAACCGACATACAAAACATTTGTTGTGCATGACGATGATGAAATCCAGTTCCTTTTGTTACAAATGGTGATGCTGTCTCCTTGATCGGTATCGCATCTGACATTATGTAGGAATATTTTCTCTTTTCCATTTGGGTCATGGTAATAAGAGCTCACCGGTTCGTATCCCAATTGTCTGCATACTATGTCATCCTCGTTTCCACAGGTACGCATACATACTGGTATCCACGTGCTATTGATCCATATTTCAACTACCCCTTCCCACGGAGTAGGACCTGCGACAAGTCTAACGTCCTGAAGCAATGGTTCCCTTGGAAGGAACTTCACCTGTTCTTTTTTATTACCTTTTATGATAACCTTTCCTTGTACTAAGAAAACACTCTTCAATGGAAATTCTAAAGTGATGTTTCCTTCGATAAACAAAACGCCGTCAGGCAATATTGTGACGTCACTGATAACTCGGTAGGCATCATTTTGGTTTGTAATATTGAGGACTTGATTTAATGTTCCTCCTAGATTGTTACCTCGAAGAAAACAGAAAGGTCTGACACCGTCGTGTAATTTAAGGCCGGTAGAATTGTAGGAATCCAAAAATGGATAATAATGGATCTGTGCAAGTTCCACTCGATCTTCAAAGTCAAACACTCGGTCTTTTATATTGCATTCATTTCTTGTTCCCCACCAGTTTTCTTCCGCCAGAAGAACGTGTTCACGATCTTTAAGCAGTGCTGCTAATTCGTGAGAGAACAAAGGATTGACAAACGAATTGTACTTTATGGTAACGTTGCCTCCTTTTACAGCTAAAACTGCCTGCGTTTTGGTACGAAGGTAATTGCTGGAAAACAGCCGGATTCTTTGATTGTCTAAAAACGTGTTGTTCCTGATGGTGACACGGCATTTTGTGGGTAACGTTTCGCAATCAACGAAAAATATGTTCTCCCCTTTATTCTTTGAAAAGATGTTCGATGAAACCTGCAAATTAAAGGGTAAGGAATTCTCATAGGAACATCTTCGCCCATGTCGTACTATCAGAGCAAGTCCACTGTTCTCGTAATATATGTTATTAGCCAAGACAGCAGATAACACGTACCATTCTGGGCCAAGGATATCCAAACCATTTTTTTTGTTTCCCTTTACTTTATTACCAGTGAATAAAAGTTGAACGCTCCTTTGCCACCGATTGTTTCCCCAACCGCAATCTGCAGGATAGAGCGTACAACCACCAAGAGAATTGTCGAAAATTGTGGAGTTTGCAACCTTAATGACATAGTTCTCCGGGCGTTGATCAATTCTATACGTGAGGTAAAACAGCACACCGTATTGACTGTTCCCTGAAACATTACAGTTTAGAAGATGAACTGAACGAAGACGTACTGACTTGGTATCTAGAAACCACAATCCATGTCGTTTGTTGCCACCAGCAATAAAATCCTTTAAGACAACTTCTCCTCCTTGATTTTCCACGTAAAAACCATCCCTTCCGTTCCCAAAAGAAGACGAAGACTCTATGTTTATGTTGGTATCCCCAAATTCGAAGGCATAACCGGATTTATAATTGTTTGAGGTAGAAATCCTCTCCAATTTAAGTCCTCCTCTAAAAAAGTAGTCAGCGTAAACTCCTTGATTTGAGTTTCCATCAAATTTACAAGAGCTGAAATTTAATCTGGTATCGGATAATCTTGTAAACAGAGCCCCATTCTGCGAATTTCCAAGAGACAGTACTTCCACTAGTCGAACATAGCAGTAGCGAAATGTTTGTAAATAAACTCCTTCACCGTTACTGTTACGAATAAACTGCGTGTTGTTAATGTTGATTGTGGAGTTGACCTGGTTTAAGATGTGCAATCCTTGACCGCCATTTTCTTCAACTAGGCTGTCAGACATTTGGAATGAAAGAGTTCCAGCATCGACTACGATTCCTGACGCTTGGTTTTTCGAGGATTTGACGTTGGTAAATTCTAAAATGCCAGTTATCTTGGTGATGTAAACACCGCTATATTTGTTCTGCAGAAACATAGATTCTACAACAGAGATTTTTCCATGTGTGTTGCTGACATAGAGTCCATTGTAGTTGTTCCCTATCACCGTTGTTAGGGAGATTCGAGAATTACCAATCAAGTTGTCAACGGTAATACCAGACTTAGCATTGGTAGAAAAGGTACTGTTAGATATCAGTAGTGATGAAGTCTCGCCTACAAATGATCAAAAGCCAATAGGTTAATGTTACAAAGAGTAAACGTCATCCAAACAAATTTATAGACTTGTGGGCGGTCGTTTCGTCTTCGTATTGAATAATAAAATTATTTCTTTTGTTCAATGTTTTATTGAGTTACCAGCTTACCTATTGACTAACTGACTGTAAGCGACCCACTGACTGATGGAAAGAACCATCCACCGAAAGAACAAGCAAACAACCGAATGAGCGACCGACCGTAACAATAGGCATTGTTGCATACTTAGTACTTTCACTCTACAAAATGAGCACTGTGTTAGGTCGATTCTTAGTCACTTTCCCCTGATAAAATTCAAATGTATGGATACAATTGCAAATTTGTTGCCCGCGCGCCGAATACAACAGCATGTTTTTGCCATATGATTTTTTTAAGGAAAATTCTGAGTATATAACAGGGCACTTAATGTATGGTCGCTCGGGAAACTAGTTAGTTTTGTTTTCCCTCCACTTTGTCTCGGGGAACATCAGGACTCTCGGAGAAAGAAAATAACTTTCTCCCTCGGGACCATAGCTTAAGTGTATATTGTTTACTAGTAGCCTCGTTGCAGTGTCAACTAAAGCGAGGTTACTAGGTGGCAGGCATTCACAAAAAAGACCAAAGACTTGGTTCCTTGGGCTGTGTGATTTCTTCTTAACCAAACATCGACAGACCATCCTAAGAACTGACCGACCGACCGACCGATCGACTGACTGACTGACGGTCTAGTTGTCCAAAGGAAAAATTGACGAAGTTACTGATGGAGAGGTTGAAGAACTACCTTTTTGAATGAGTGATTGACTGCTCAAGGGAACAGCAGATGGACCAGTTCGTCTTATTTTAAGACATAACTAGAAACAGAGCTACCTTGATCTTCCATAACGACCATTTCCAAGTTAGAACTGCCTTTAGAGTAGAAGGAAAGTTCCAATATAGAAGTAGAACCAGTCTTAAATGTCCTTCCATTGTAGTCCCTTGTAATTCTGTGCAGTTGGGTTTTGATAGCTGTGCTTGCATCGGTAAAATTGAGCTCAAATCCACTTCCATGAATTATTCTCAAATACACAGAGATCTTTCTTCCTGGTGAAGCTCTGAAAATCTTAATAAAGCAAATTTTTTTTTAAATTCTTACATTGGAAGAGTTTTTTTAGAAGGTAAGCAACATACAGATAAGAATTTCTCTAGGTTACAAGTTACGGCTTGTAGTATAGAGGTTCTCGATCGGTTAACTCCCTTTCATGAAACCTGGCTCAACATTTTGACTATTTAAATGTCTTTTACGAATGCTTTTCCTTTTGAGGAAAAATATTCTTAAAAGAACATCGAAGAGGTGCGAACTGACTTCGCTTGACAGATGAAATCGGAAGAAGAGGCATTGATGTAACTGTTTTCTTCTTCTAGCCTTCAGGGAAAACCTATTTTTTAAATCGTTGGTTATAAATTATAGATGATTGAAAGCTGGTGTCTGCATATGGGAAAGAATGAAACTCCTCTTGATCAGGGGTTGTCTTTTTGCATTGTGATCTTCCCCGTTGTACAAGAAAATCCTCCCCTTCGAAAAAAAACATCACTCCATACGATAGGGAAGAAGAGTTCTGTCCAATTCACATTTCGATAATCGTCAAAAGATTTGGACTTTTTAATCAATTCTAATTGATAGTCAAGGATGCAGAACTCCCAGTTCGTGGAGACCCTAGTGTTTTCCTCAAATGATTCACCCGGTTTGATAGAAAAATTAAATCCCTCACCATTGGAAGCTTTTCGTTCTACCTTCTAAAATCGTGAATGAAATATGTGCCAAAATTTGACATAAAGCTGTACATTTTAACTACCGCTCAGGAAACTCGAACCAGAAATCCACTAAAAAAACAAAGAAGAGAAAATCCCTGTTTTCGAGAAGGTGATGGATATGTAAAGATATTCTACAGTTCACATTAGAGTGGTCTTGAGTTCATAGTGTACTCCGCTCTTCTTTTCACCAAACTCACTCGCACATTTCAAATAAAATACTCGATCCTACCTTGCTACAATTAACCGGGTGATGATTTCCAGCGGCATTTAGGAGCAAAGGAAAAGAAGCTTTCTCTGGAATGACAGAACAGAAATTCATTGCCAGGCGCGTATAGATAAGGCCTCCTTCAAATCGTGCATTCTGAACTGTGACATTTTCAATGACAACATTACCACAGGAGTTCTCGATGTTCACACCAGCCAGAAGAGGCCCAAGGATTGAAGAATCGACCACGGCCAAGGGTTTGGCAAGTTCTTTTACATTTAAGCCGGAGGCGCTATCGTGGATCGTAACATGTAATAAATCTGGAGCGTTTTCCACGGCATTTATGCCCTCAAGAGCATTCTCAATGTCCACGTACTCCAGCGAAGAGCTTTCTTTTTTCTCAGAGGAGTTCGTAGGCTCGAAGTAAAAACCTTTCCAATAAAAGTTCTCAGCCAAATATGGCAATAGAGTGTCACATTCAATGCCAACGTCCCGGTTGTGAGCTGAAATATTTGTCGTGTCGTTGTAATGGAAAAAAGAAGGAATAAAAATAGAAATGTGATTAATGGCTTAAAAGTAGCTAATTTTGTACCTTGACGCTTTTACGAAAGTCCTCGCTGATATGCTTTCTAGGCACCTGAACACAACCTCTTCCTCCCCTTGATCTATGCGCTGTTTCTCTAAACATTAATAACATTGTATTAGGGTTTCAAGTCGGGCAGGTGAGTTGGCCATTTAGGACGATTTCCTTTTATATTGAGACTTAACGTCCGCTACCCGATAGCCACACGAAGTTTTCAGCTTCATAGCATTGGTTTCAAAACAAAAATTTCATGTCACAAAATTCAAATTTAACTCAGCCTGATGTCAAGGAAAATCGAAAGAAAGCTGAAAAGAGCGTACACTAGGCATACAAATGCTTAACGAAGTCTGAACTTGGGATCATTCATTCTCCTTACAATATCACCCCTAAATTTCACATTAATGTAATGAGAATAAAGGAAATGATCACCAACTAACGAAACTCTTGATTGTTAGACAAATTCTCCATGTCAGCACCTTAGTTAATGTACAGAGAACAGTATGGAGAATGTAAATGCTGATGTTAAGGTATGAGGGGTTAAGGTAGACATCACGGACGTTTTCTCGGAGGAGAGGTTGTCTCTGGTACCAGCTTCCACAGAAACGGTGACTAAGACGTTGAGAGGCCGCGCATTTATCACCTGTACTTTATTACTGGTGAGACAGGATTTTTCGTTAAAAAATTTTTTGGAGCTCGTAACGGCCATCTTGCCTTCAAACACAAGCGAAACCTTGTCTTAGCACATGAATTAAATAGTGATTACCCGACCAAATGCGAGGGCATATTTCTGTCCCCTCTTCTGCGTACCCACCCCATACAATAGATCAGTAATAAAGTTACTAAACAGAGAAAGATACTAATTTACTTTGGTTACATGGAAAAATTAAATAGATCTGTCGGTAAACACTTGCTTTGCGGCCAGAAAGAGAATATTTCCATGTAGAGAAACATGTGGCAAACAATAAAAGCATTGCTTAGGACTAAAATGAACTTACACCACGAATGCGGATGACTCATAATCCATCTGTAAGAACAATCCCATAGACTCTTTTCAGTTCCTTTACAGCCAACTGTCTTCATCATCACGGGGCCGCTGCCGGGATCATAGTAATACTGCTTTCCCCCAAGGAATCCAAGATGTCTGCAGGCCACGTGCGTATCTGTGAGATCCCAAGATCCCCAGTCGTTGGAGACAGTCCCCCACCTTCCATGATACTGCAACTGAAGGCGCCCGTTGTTGTAGGATGATCCATCTACAAGTCTTATCCCGTGACTGTAGAATAAAGCCCCGTCTGTTGTATTGCAAAAACTTGTTTCTGCACAGGGAACCGCTCGGAATGTAATTCTCTGCGACGGTGTTCCTTTTGCATGAAACGATCCACGAACAAGTATCCCCACAGATGGAACAAAATTTACAATTGCACCAGGTTCTATGGTAAGAGAAGCATTTTTTGGGACAACAAGGTCACTGGTGACCAAGTATGGACCATCTACACGCGCAAGGGTCTGGTTACCAGTGACAGTGCCATTCAATAGCCGTGAAATATTTTTCTCGCTCTCACAAAGTCCATGCCCGAGAAATATGACCAGTGGTATGTAGTATTTCAGAAACATCCTGTCTATTCTGATCTATTGGTAATGAAGAATAAGAATGAACTGGAATCAGAAGACATAAAAGTTCATCTCAAGACGAAAGAAACAGTTTTTCCTCAAATATTCGTCCTTTTTGATGACGTCACGGAACCTTGGTAGCTTACCATAATTCGTATCTTAAGTTTTACATTGCAAGCTTTTCCAAATAACGATAGGGGAGTTCAGGCAAGGGGGAGCGGGGGAAGGGATAATCCACCCTTCTTGTACCCAGGATTGGTACTTCCAATGGCTACGACACCTTAATAATTAGGGAGAAGGCGGCTGTACATCCAAGCTAAGTGGTTGGCGCATTCCAATTGATGAGAGTCAAACGACATATCCCCATCTACAGGAAAATTGTGCATTGGCGGCAGAGTCGCGAAAGATTTGGGACGAAAAATTAAAGTTGGAGAAACTATATCCTGCAATTGAAATTCTTCGCGCCTTACGCATGGAGATCGGGATCAGAGACTTTTAGCAAGTGCTCTGTTTTGTTTAAAGTATAAACTAAGTTTCCTTAAATACTCCTGATTGAATCTAAACTTAGTATCATATTCTGCAATAAGAAGAGCAACAAGAGACTTTAAACATTAATTACGTGACTGAAGCGAGAACTAGATACATCATGTTTGCATTTTTGTAACAAAACTGGAAAGCTCTTGGAGATCATTCACCGTGGAAAAGAAAGATGGCCCGGGAAAGGTGCTAAATCATTCAGCTCGGAAAGATACATGATCTGGTTAAAAGCGTGGAACAATGAAAAATCAGGGCGTCTTTTTTCGTTAGTTTGTTCTCGGAACAATTAAATTATAAACCGTAGAAAGGAAGGAACCGACAAAAAGTAAGTGAAATCTCACTGCCTACCGAGCTCATTTTTCCTTCCTCAGAGCACTTAAATTTATTAACAGGCGTCCATGTGCAAGCGCTGTGAACTGTCATTGGTATTGTAAAAGAATCACATGCCTCGAATAGCTTTTTTTAAGTGATGCAAAAAAATATTTGTGATCTCGCAAATGCATTCGAACTCAGTTTTCAGATACTTTTCAATCCCGAAACTGCTAAGTCTCTGCTTTTCATTCTTGGACAGTATGCTGTTTAGGGGGTCGAAATTTCATGTTTCCAAACGATCTTTTCAGTTCTTTGATCATCAGGTAGTCAACGAGAATTGAATATTGCAATCAGCCTCACATCTTTGTGCCTTTTATTTTGTTGTTGATGACTTTGCAACATTTGCTCTTTTAATTTAATTTCTTTGGAGCCTCGTTGGATGAAGAAAACTGCACTTGGAAAAAAACTGCACATAATGATTTCATTGCTATGATAAGCTCTCTCCAAGTTTCTTTGTGCGATGCGACTAGTTAATGGAGAGAATGTACGCTACTTAAGTAAACCAACCTCTATGTTGCATAGGCTCATGAGAAAAATATATCACCGCTGCTCAGTAATTACTTCTGTATACATATCAAACTCATGGGGCACAAATAGTCTTAACATGAATGTAGTGACCACGCCCACTTCGACGCCCCACTCAAATCGAGTGTAATTTTCGAATGTTTTACCATCGTGCGGATTCTCTACGGAAAAAGCATTCAATGTACCTCTGAAATATTACACTATAATATTGTGGCTTTTTATTTCGCTAATTTTCTAACTTGAAGGTAAAGTTTTTCCCTCGTCATTTTTACCTTTTCTCCGAGCGGTTGCGTGAAATTAACAAGGCGTTTTTGATCAAAACACGACCGAGCGAAGGGTCTCGGGCGATATCTCTTTTACGCAGGCGCATTTTAAAAATGTACCGCCAGAATAAAAAAGAATAACAAATTTCCTTTGTTTTGATATGTAAAGTGTCGAACAAAAAGCAGATTTACCCTCGTCAAATGGCGTTTCAAAACGGCTGTATCTTCCTCCTTTTGATTTTTTCCTGTTTTGTAAGCGTGAAAGCAGTAGGAGAGGGTCGGGAAATTCAGAAAGCGCTTCGGGAATTAATCTGCCATCGTTTACTTACAAGATAAACAAGTAAGATTTGTGAAGTTCGTTGAAGTATGAAGTCTAAATAAATGCCTTTTTTAAGCTTGTTTGCTGGATTTTTCGTAAAATTCCCTGATTAATTTTTCGTTTCAGCTTACTAATCTATACTATTTCAAAGCAATGCAAAGACGAAAACGGAGAACCATGAGTCGGTCCTCTCAACAATCGTAAACAAAGTGTTTGAGCAATCAGGTATACGAGGAGTAATAATCAATAGCCGCATATCAGAAGTATTTAGAAAGAAAATATTCTGTCTTCAGAAAGCTGTCAAGAAAGCTAGTAATCGTAGTGGAAGGCAATTAAATGCACTTCTTAGCAAGTTGGAAACGGGCCCTCAGTATCGATCTAATATCATATCGATCTCGATATCATACAGTTTTGTATCTTTCTTTCGTGGATTCGCCTTTCTAACGGGGGTGTATGTTGAGTATTCATTGCAAAATCGCTTTGTTTTTTCTATTTCCCTCTTTGGTCTGTTCGCAACGGAGAGCATGCGCATTACGTGGGGTTAGTGGTTGCGTACACCTGGAACCGAGAAAAACAAATGTTCGTCGCACTGGGGAAAGAGTTTAATATGTTTCCTGAAAAACGTCTCACGTTGGGACGCCGGTGTAACCTCGAGCTCGTCTAACTTCACACTGAGTGAAATGCAACGCAGTCTAAGTGACACAATGACGTCATTGTGAGTAATTCTGGGACAAGCAGCGCTATAGCACAGAAACACGTTACTCCTACTTTGTTTCTTTAAAACTCGATCTAACATTATTTCCCAAAACCACATATTTCGTAGTCCAATGTTCGATTCTTCGGAGTTGTCGATTTTAGCAGATCTCATTTTGAATTAATCAGCACAATATTTGTTTATAAGTGGTTCGCTGTTCGGTTAACCCTTTAACTCCCAGATGTGATTCACATGCAACTTCTCCCTACAATATCCATCCACTGACCAGCAAACAGGTAATGAGAATACTCAAATGTATCAGGTGCAAGTTGTTATCTTGATCTCACACCAAATTCGGGCAACTAATTTACAAGGAAATGTGTAGCAGCAAGAGGTGAGAATTAACAATCAGATCATGAGAGTTAAAGGGTTGAAGACTAATATTTAAGCAAAGTTGTCTTATGTGAAGTAATTACAGCCTCCTTTTCAGAAAAATGGGAATAGAGAAACCTCACATCAAACATCCCGAAATGCGCTTTGAAAAACGAATGATCCTGAAGCATTACACTACGCTGCCAAGTTATCTTGCTTTTATGTGAAAGATGCAACAGTTTCAGGACTGTAGACTCAAAAGCTTCAAAAGAGGCATCTTGACAGAATTCAGTTGATTTTTTCTACCAAACGAGGTTTGTACTGGTTTGTTTTATTCACTAGCGAACCTAACTGGAGAATAAATTACCATTACTAACACCATTGCTATTATTATCATTATTATTATTATTATTATTATTATCTTTAGTGTCAATGGGATTATTTGTAACCATTTAATTATTGGTTGAATTTCAATTAGTCACTATATTCTTGAATCCTCTTTTTTCTTGTGGAACATGGTACTCATTATTACGTGGGATGTGGCAGGTTTCCTGTTCTTCGTGTGCATACAAATATTCTGCAAAACTATCTTCTAACGTCATTATCCAACCTCTATTTCTGTTCGATGCTTTAGCAATTGTACTATATCAGTAGCCACACACAGTCTTAAGCTACCAATTTTTTTTTTGGTGAGGAATCTTTGAGGGCTTACTGGTGTTACAAGAATGCGGACTTCACTTACTCCCTTCTGTCACGCAACGTTCAAAGCTCGTTGACACTTTCGGTGATTTCGTTGATAATTAGTTTTCATGGAGGTACAAATAGGTAATAATGAGAAGGAAATCCCGATAGAGATCGATATTGGCTTTACCAAGTCGAGTACAGTCAGGAGCAGTTTAGTAAACTAAGAGCTCAGTGAATACTGACCTTAGAAAATCACAAAAAAACACTAAAAATGCACTTCGGCGAGAAAATCGGAAGTAGCTTTGTGTCCGTGCCTTTCTGTTTAGAAATGGTCATTTCACTCGGGGAATATTAAGGTATTTTTTGGAAATGTCTCGAACTGTGCATCCTTTGTTGATGTTTAGAACTTTACCGAAGAACGGAGACTGCGTTACAATTTCGCTTCGAAGCGGGCCGAGGACAGATATGGACTCGAATCAGTTGTAAAAGTGAACGCAGAATTATGCTCCTCTGAAATCCACCTAGAATAAGTCTTTCCAATTAGCCACCCCTCTGAGGATACTTTTTCGTTCGTCTGTTCTCGGAACAATCGAAGTCGATCACTAATTTCCTGGGAGCAACAACAAATCAAGAAATAGAGTGGAAATATCGGTGCTGACCTCATTATTCCTGTTTAACCTTGGAAGTGGCTTGGTTTCACATACGTTCGAATTCATTCATAAGCGTCCATGCACACGCTCTATGCTACTGCCTTTAGTCTTGTAACAATAAACATAGGAATGCTTAAGCGCTCGGTGAAGAAACAGATTCCCGTGCATAAGCGAGTATGGCGCTAAAGTCTGTCTATATGTTTATCGACAAAAATTTTGGTCTTTTACGCATAAATCAGATCCGGAACAAAATTTATTGCAGCCATCCAGCCGATTAAAAGCGACTTCAACAAGGACAACTGTAGCCAGTTTTCACTTCGTCTTGGGTACTGATTCTGGGAAATTTGGTCGATAGATTCCACGAATCCTAAGCACCAATTTGTTCATATACGTTCCAATGTACCTTCCGTTTGTCAAGAACTGTGATGACTTGCAATATTTTCCAATTACATTAAATAGATAAAAACATAAACCTTAAATGAATAAAAGCAGGATAATTTCCACCTACAAATCAACGTCTCCCTTGGTAAATGGTAAAGATTTTCCACAACTAAGCTCTGAACACACGCCGTATAAGTCAGACCATA